ACTCAGCACCCTGAGTCAGATGGGGCCCTCATCCAGCAGCCTCACTGAGATCCAGAATCTTCTGGGGATGGGAAGGTTCGGGTGGGCTTTGGGGCCACGCCTGCCAGTGCTCTGTGCTCAGCCCGTGTAGCTCTTTGGCCAGATGTCTTGGCGCCCGTGGACGTCACGCTGACACATAAGTGAACCGTCGCGGGTTTTACAGAGGGGCTTCCCTGGTGGTGCCTATGGCCCAGGACCCTCCTGGAGGTGCTGGGGGCCCTCAGGGCTAAACCTCGCTGTGCTATGCTTTGCCAACCCTGTGCTGCCATTTCAACAACATACATTACGTTACCCAGTCCGTGTGCATAAATTAATTTGGGGTGCCTTGCCTTTTGTTTGTGTCGCCTTCCGTTTCTTGCAGCATTTCTTTTGTAGCTTTTGTCATATCGGCCACACCTGGTGGTGCTCAGGGACTCCTCCTAACTCTGCTTTAGGGTCACTGCTGGTGGTGTTTGAGGGACCGGGCCTCGGACTGAACTCAAGCCTCCTGCGTGCAAAGCAGGAGTCAGTCATCTGCACCTTCTCCCTGACGAGATACCGACTAGTGATCTTTTTGAGAAATCATTTTGGTTTTGGCCACACCCCGCTGTGCTTGTAACCTACTCCTGGCTCTGTGCTCAGGGAATCATTCCTGGCAGGCTCAGGGGATCCAGCCCAAGTTGGCAGTAGGCAAGTGCCCTACCTGCTCTACCCTGAGAAATCTTTGTTCTTGAGAAGTCACTTCTCAGTTGCTACTTTCAAAATGTCTTTCTGGGGCTGGAGCAGTAGTATAGCGGGTAGGGTGTTTGCTTTGCACGCAGCCGACCCAGGTTCAGTCCCTGGCATCCCATAGGGTCCCCTGAGCAAAACCAGGAGTGATTTCTAAGTGCAGAGCCAAGAGTAAACCCTGAGCATCACCAGGTATGACCAGTATGTGTGTGTGTGTGTGTGTGTGTGTGTGTGTGTGTGTGTGTGTGTGTAATATGGACCCCTTCCAGTGTAATGTGGATGTCTTTGAGTTTGGTTGGATCTCCTAGATGGACACGTGAGTAGTGTTCATCATATGTGGGGAGTTGTTTTTACCTTTCCTCAAATACTCTTTTCAGGGCCAGAGCGATAGAACAGCGGGGAGGGTGTTCACTTTGCACATGGCTGACCTGGGTTTGATCCCCGGCATCCCATATGGTCCCCTAAGCACCGCCAGGAGTAAGCCTGAGCATCTCTGGGTGTGATGTGTGATTCCCCCACCACCACCATCACCACCAAAAAATATCCTCTTTTCATCCCTTTCTGTCGTCTCCTTCTGGGCATCCCATAATGCTTGTGCAAGGACAGTTGGTGTCCCGCAGGTCTCGGGGGATATGTTTATTTTTCTTTATGAAAATTTTCCTTTTGTTTCTTTTACTAGATAAATTGAACTGTCTTGGAATTTTCTTACTCTTCTTCAGCCTGTTCAGTCCCTCCATTTAGCCCCTGTAATTAATTTTTCATTGGGTTATTGTAGCGTTCAACCCTGAAGTTTCTTTTTGTTGAATTGGTTCTGAGGCTGCTCCAGTGGTGCTCAGGGCTTACTACTTTCTGTGCCATTGCCCCAGCCCTGTCAACCCTAAAGTTCCTATTTGATTCCTTTGCAAAGTTTTTCTTTAGAGATGTTCTGTCGGGGCTGGAGCCATAATAGCACAGCGGGTAGGGCGTTTGCCTTGCAGGCGGCCGACCCGGGTTGGATTCCCAGCGTCCCATATGGCCCCCTGAGCACCGCCAGGGGTAATTTCTGAGTGCAGAGCCAGGAGTAACCCCTGTGCATTGCTGGGTGTGACCCAAAAAGCAAAAAACAAAACAAAACAGAAACATAGAGATGTTCTGTCTCTGGTTTAAAAAAGAAAGTTTTAAAGGGCTGGAGTAATAGCACAGTAGGGAGGGTGTTTGCCTTGCATACAACCTGCCTGGGTTCAGTCCCCGGCATCCATATGGTTAACCCTGCACCACCAGGAGTAATTCCTGAGTACTGAGCCAAGAGTAACTCCTGACCATCACCAGATGTGAACCCCCCCGCCCCGCACACAAAAAAAAGTGAAAATGAAGGGTTTTTTTTTTTTAAGCTTGGTGAATTCTATTCATTCATTTATTTATTTTTGCTTTTGGGTCACACTCAGTGATGCTCAGGGGTTACTCCTGGCTCTGCACTCAGGAATCGCTCCTGGCCATGCTGGGGGACCACAAGGGATGCTGGGGATTGGACCTGGTTCGACCGTACAAGGCTGTACTGTCCCTCCAGCCCCCAAATAAAGTTTTGATTGGAGGCAGGAGGGTGAATGCAAGGAACCGTTCCCAGGACTCACACATGCGAGGGGTTCCTGGGCCAAATCGTTGTTGTTGGTGATTTAGATGTGGTTTCTTTGATTGCTGATCACATGAGAAGCAGCCGTTTTAAAGTTGTCTCCTGAATGTTCAGTGTCTGGGTCTCCTGGGCAGTTTCTGTCACTTGTCCATCCCTTCTGTGTCTGCCCTACTTTGTATTTCTCCGTGAGCTTTCTACCTTTGGTTGAAAACTGGACATCCGTAAGATGTGTTCAGCGTAGATGTGTCTTCTGTCTCCCCGGGTGCTCTGGTTATGGTTCTCACGTGGTGACTTCTGCGGCTCACGGCGTCAGCACACTGCCCTGTGCCTTCTTCCGATACCAAGGTGTCCCGAGTGCTTGTCAACAAACACCCCTCCATCTCGGCAGTGGGGTCCAACTGGGGCACCTGCCACCCGGGAATCTCTCAGAGGCACAAGCTTCGGGGCCTGGCGTGTGGGCGGCCTCCGGGTTCCGGGTACACAGAGGAGTTTCCACGGCTCTTTCCCCCACAGCGCCTCGTTCCCCGACTTCTCTCAGCCTTTTGGTTGATGAATTATTTGCCTTTAGTAATGATTGCCCCTGGGAGCAGTGACTAATGCGTTTGCCTATAAATATTTTGGTGTGAACACTGCCCTCTATTGTCACCAACATCATTGCCGCCACCACCACAACCATCGTCACTGCCCCCACCACCATCGCCACTGCCATCACCATCACCACCTCTGTCACCATCACCTTTGCCACCACCATCACCACTGCCGCCACCACCATCACCATCTCTGCCACCATCACCGCCACTCCCATCATGCCCGTTGTCACCACTACTGCCATTCCCGCCATTACCACCCCATGCCACTGTCACTGCCACCACGTCCACTCTCACCACCACACCCAGCCCCCGGTGGGTAAAGCAGGCCCTGGGTCCTGCAGGGAGCATGGAGCAGGTCAGCCACACACTGAACGTCTCCACATCGCAGTCTGTCCCCTCCCACCCTCACCAGCACCTGGACCATTACTGCCGCCTGTATCTCCTTGCACTGCCTCTGGCAGACGGCACCAGGAGAAGGTAAAATGACACTGAATTCCATCATTTTCCAGAGTTCCTGAAAGTCATTCCTACCATTTGCACATCTTGGCTGGCATTTCACTTCTACCTAAGGGTTGCCCCGACGCAGCCTTTTTTTTTTTTTTTGCTTTTTGGGTCACACCTGGCAATTCACAGGGATTACTCCTGGCTCTGCACTCAGGAATTACTCCTGTTGGTGCTCTGGGGACCCTATGGGATGCTGGGAATCGAACCCGGGTTGGCTGCGTGCAGGGCAAATGCCCTGCCTTCTGTGCTATCACTTCGGCCCCCCTGCTCAGCCTTTTCTACTGGTATCTACTAGACTCTTCTCAGCATTTTGACTGATTCTGAGTTTGCCTGACATATACCCCACCCAGTTTCAGAAGGGCTTAAAGGATGGATCTGAGGCCAGGGGTTGCCTGTAGGCCGCCGCGGAACAACAACCCTGGTGTAAGTCCCAGCCCCACATATGCTCCCCTGAGCACAGAGCCGGGAGTCACACCTGAGCGCTGCCAAGTGTGACTCACAAAACAAAAGATGGCTTCCAAGGTAATAAGGCAAAGAACAAACTCATTGCTGGTGTTCGGTGTGTGGTCATCAGCTGGGAAGCATTCTTGTAAAAACCGTGCACTCCCCGTTGCTTCTGGAGGTGGAATCTTGCAGGTAGAAACGCTGCCTTGGGGGCCTGAGCGATAGGGCAGCAGGGAGGATGTTTGCCTGTACACAGCCGGCTCGTGTTCAATCCCCAGCGCCACATCTGGTCCCCTGAGCCTGCCAGGAGTGAGCCCTGAGCACAGAGCCAGGAGTAGGCCCTGAACATCTCCAGGTGTGGCCCAAAGGCAGAACGGAGAAAGGAAAGAAGAGGTGGCAGCAGCCCCTGCGGGCAGCCTCTGAGCGTCCGGCCGCAGGTGCCCTCGTGTGCCCCAGTCTGCGTGAGGGTCACAGCCAGGGCTGTGAACACTTCCCCTTGTGGTCCCAGAACGGAAACAAAGGACCCGGAAAACAGGGTTGGGCAGATGCCCAAGGACCTGGGATGTGGAAGCCTGGTCCTGGCTGGAGTAGCCCCCAAACACCTCCAGCTATGCTCATCCCCCCAAAAAAAGAGAAAAAGAGAGACTAAACCCCCACGATCTGTCATTTCCCCCTAAACACCGCCTTGAAGGGGGCCGGGCGAGTGCTCCCCGTGTGCCGCTGCGGCTGCTCCTGGCTTGCGCCCTGGCCCTGAGCGCTGGCGAGTGAGCAGGCACCCAGGGTGCAGACGCAAGCCGCTTGGGAAGCAGCTGGCTGAGCCTTCCGGAGAAGCGAAAGGAGCTTGGCGTCTCGGTGAGGATTTCAGGGTGCTGGAGCCGCAAGATGAGGCCAAAAGCCGGGAGGTCACTTACCACAGTGCCAGTGGCCCCGACCTCCAGAGCACCTGCTTCTAGAAAGTTCTGGGCACAGTAGCCTCAGCCCCGGCTGGGTGGGGATCGTCCATGGAGGGCGCCTGGGACCCCGGGTGAGACTGGGGCGGCTGCTCGGCGCCCTCTGCTGCCACGCTGCCGGGCACTTCCACTTCCCGCTCGTCCATTTCCCCGCAGCCGCCCTCCGCTGTCCCGCAATGGAGGCGAGTAAGAAGGTGGAGTCCCCGGGCCCGCTGCAGACCAACGCCCCGCTGAAGCTGCACCCCGACCGTGGCGCCGGCGCGGCGGTGCTGGTCCCTGAGCTCGGCGGCTACAAGGAGAGGTTCGTGAAGGCCGTGGAGGACAAGTACAAGTGCGAGAAGTGCCACCTGGTGCTGTGCAACCCCAAGCAGACCGAGTGCGGACACCGCTTCTGCGACAGCTGCATGGCCGTCCTGCTCAGGTAGTGCTGGCCGCGGCCACCTGCACCTCCCCCCGGGGCTGGCCTCGCCTCTTGGCCAGGGCGGTCCATGTTCTCCCTCCCAGCACGAGGCCCCGCCCTGTGGACGGGCTGGGTTTGGGTTCGGGTGTTGGCAGGACAGAAGCAGAGATGCCCGGGGAACCGCGTCTCAGAGTGCGTCCGTCTGCCCAGGCCACAGTCCCCCGTGTGGGGCAGCCTCCTCGGGCCCCGCTGCTTGCATGCCTCCCGGGTGGCGACTTGGTCCTGAGCCTGGGAACAAGGCGAGGTGGGGCGGGTGTCTCTTTGAACTGGCTTTGGAACCCTGCAGCCACGGGAACGGGCCGGCGTTTCAGAACGCCCTGGATTCGCCCCCATGGACTGACTCTCGCGCTCTGCGTGTGCCCAGTCAGTTCTGGTTTCTAAAACGAAATTTCACTTTTATTTTAATTGAGCGGGGCTTTCCAGGGGACTGAACTAAAGCTGTTCTGCTTAAAAATTCCCTCTGAGAAGTTGCCGTGAAAGCGTCTGCCCTTTGCTCGGCCGGACCCTCCCTGCCCGGCAGAGGGACTCACAGTGCTCCTGTCTGTCTCCCTCAGCGCCGCCAGCCCGAAGTGCACCGCCTGCCAGGAAGTCATCGTGAAAGACAAGGTATTGGGGTGTTGCCTGCCTTAAACGAGGGGACTCCCACGGAGTGTCGCCTCCGCTCTGGTCTCAGCACTGGTGCCATGGGAGCACAGACACCCCAGGCAGACGGAGCCCGGATGGGGCTAGATGGGGCAGTGGCACCAGCCCAGGTGCTCTGCCTCCTGCCCTGGGTATATGTGGGACCTTGAGGTGCTCCCTGTCTTTGCTCTGTCCTGGGTATGTGGGGGGATTGTAGGTGCTCTCGTCTCTGCTATGCCCGGGTGTATGTAGGGTCTGAGGTGCTCCCTGTCTCCGCTCTGCCCTGGGTGTGGGGGGACTGTGAGGTGCTCCCTGTCTCTGCTCTGCCCTGGGAATGGGGGGATTGCAGGTGTTCCCACTCACTGGTCATCCCCTGAGCTTGCCCCCACCCTGCAGCTCCCCATCAGACACGTGTGAGATCTGACACGTACCTGTGTGTCTCTGAGAGCTAATGGGTGTCACCACAGAGCCACCCCCTCCCCGCTGCTTCTCTCCGGTGCGCCCTCCTGGGCATCAGCGCGTCCCAACCTCCCGCCACTGTGGGTCTGAGTGACTCTCAGCTCAGTGTCCCTGTGTGCTTCTGCTCCTGCCAGGAGGCCTCCCCGATGCGACGCACAGGTCTCAGTTTGGAGGAGAGCCCCTGCCCGGGCTCTCCCACAGTGCCCGCTGTCCACATGCCCTGTCCCGGCCCCTCGGGGACAGAATGGCTGGAGGGCTGTCACCTTTCCTTCCAGAGCGGCCCTGGCACGAGGGATTTCGGTTCCGAACAGGAGTCACTGTCTAGGACCCCGCACGCTGGTGTGTGCCAGGGAGGCCTGGTGAGAGGGGATGCCGAGCGGCAGGGCCTGGGAAGGTCCTCTGGTCACCCTGTCAGCAGTGCTGGTGGCAGAGAAAGCACGACCTCTGACCTCTGTTCAAGAGAACCTAGTCCTCGAGGGCCTGTGACGCTGCTCACGCAGGACCTCTCAGTGTTGGCCAGGCCCCCGCCAGGGCCACACCTGCAGCAGCACAGCTGGAGTGAATGGTCTGAGATCCTCAGCCTAAGGCGGCACCCATGGAGGGAATGAATGATTGTGAGATCATCAGCCTAAGGCGCACAGCTGGAATGAATGAATGATTGACATTGTCTCAGCCTAAGGCAGCACAGCTGAAGTGAATGAGATCCTCAGCTTATGGCGGCACCACTGGAGTGAATGAATGATTGAGATCCTCGGCCTAAGGCAGCAGAGCTGGAGGGAATGAATGATTAAGATCCACAGCACAGCTGGAGTGAATAAATGATTTATATCATCAGATAAGGCAGCACAGCTGGAAGGAATGAATGATTGAGACCATTGCAGTCTGAAGCTCCGTCCTTTCCTCCGAGATCAAAAGACTTATTTTGGTGCCTGGAAGCGAGCCCAGGGCTCACCACCTATAGGTCCTTAGCCCCACCAGGAGTGATCCGTGAGCGCAGCCAGATGTGGCCCGAGACTCCCCCACAGAAAAGCCATCGTCAGGGCCAGGGCAGTCCGCAAAGGGCTGGAGCACGTGCATGCATGTGTGAGACCTGCACTTCCATCCCTGGCACCTCATGGTCCCCAGAGCATCACACAGGTGACCCTCGTGGCCCTTAGCACCACCAACTCAAGGCCTGAACTATTCAGCCTCACAGCTGTGCTAAGTGTTCCCAGGAGTGGTCCCTGGACCCCCAGCACTGCTTGGGAGGCTCTTAAAAATCTGTTCTTTTGGGACTGGAGAAATAGCACAGCGGGTAGGGCGTTTGCCTTGCATGCAGCTGACTCAGGTTCGATCCGCAGCATCTCATATGGTCCCCAAGCATCACCAGGAATGATTGCTGAGTGCAGAGTCAGGAATAACCCCTGAGCACTGTCGGGTGTAGCCTAAAAACAGGCAAACAAAAGAAATCTTTTCTTTTGACTTTGGTATCTTAAATTATGGGATTTTAAAAAATAATGGAAGTACAAGAACAAAAACAACTGGTGCTGGCGCGAATGTGGCGAGAAAGGGACCCTCCTTCACTGCTGGTGGGAATGCCGACTGGTTCAGCCCCTTTGGAAAACAGTATGGACAATTCTCAAAAAATTAGAAATTGACCTCCCATTTGACCCAGCAATACTACTCCTGGGAATATATCCCAGAGAGGCAAAAAAGTATAGTCGAAGTGACATCTGCAATTGTCTGTTTATTGCAGCACTCTTTACAATAGCCAGAATCTGGAAAAAACCTGAGTGCCCTAGAACAGATGACTGGTTAAAGAAACTTTGGTACTTTTACACAATGAAGTACTATGTAGCTGTTAGAAAAGATGAAGTCATGAAATTTACATACAAGTGGTACTACATGGAAAATATCATGTTAAGCGAAATGACTCAAAGAAAGGGATAGACATAGAAAGATTGCATTTATCTGGGGAACATAAAGTAACAAAATAGGAGACTAGCACCCAAGAATGGCTGAGATTAGTACCAGGAATTTTACCACACGTGCTAGGGGAAAAGGGAGCTCAGATAGAGAAGGGAGCACCAAATAAAGGGTGTTGGGAGGATCCTCCCAGGATGGAGGAAGTATGCTGAAAGTAGACCATAGACCAAACATGATTGTCACCCATTGCCTCTTTTGCAAACCACAACACCCAATAAGAGAGAGAGAACAAAAGGGAATGCCCTGCCACAGAGGCAGGGTGGGGTGGGGGGGATGGGGGGTGGGAGGGATACTGGGATCCGTGGTGGTGGGAAATGGGCACTGGTGGAGGGATGGGTATTTGATCATTGTATAATTGAAACTCAAGCACAAAAATTTGTAGGTCTACAACTGTACCTCATGATGTCTCACTAATAAAAATTAAAAAAAACAATAATGGGAGTGGGGCTAGAGCGATATTACAGCAGGGAGGACGTTTGCCTTACACGCGGCCAACCCGAGTTCGATCTCCAGCATCCCATATGGTCTCCTGAGTGCAGAGCCAGGAGTAACCCCTGAGAATTGCCGGGTGTGACCCAAAAAGCCAAAAAATAAATAAATGTAGCACTGTCCTCCTGTTGTTCATTGGTTTGCTCCAGTGGGCACCCGTAACATCTCCATTGTGAGACTCGTTACTGTTTTTGGCATATCGAATATGCCACAGGGAGCTTGCCAGGCTTTGCCAAGCTGACGGGATGGATATTCTCGGTAGCTTGCCAGGCTCTCTGAGAGGGATGGGGAAATCGAACCCAGGTTGGCCCGGGGCCACGTGCAAGGCAAACGCCTTACTGCTGTGCTGTCGCTCCAGCACAAATAAAATTTAAAAAAATAATAATGGGAGCCTGGGAGATAGTATGTGGGTAGGACACTTGCACATGGCCAACCTGGGTTTGATCCTCCACATCCCATGTGGTCCCCCAAGCGCTGTCAGGAGTAACTCCTGAGCACAGAGCCAGGAGTAACCCCTGATATAGCCAGGTGTAGCCCAAAACCCCCGCCCCCCAAAAAAATATCTTGATGGGTGGGAAATGTACAGTGGTGAAGGGACAGGTTTTGGAAAATTGTGTGACTGGAACCCGATTATAAACAACTCTGTAACTGTTTATCTCACGGTGATTCAATAAAAAAGGAAAAAAGAATCATGATGAGTTAATTTAGTTCCAAACTAGCTTTTGATTCTTTTATTTTTGTTTTGTTCAGTGTTCAGGGGTTACCCCTGGCTCTGTACTCAGGGGATCACTCCTGGCAGGGCTCAGGAGACCAAACAGGATGCAGAGGGTTGAATACAGATTGGTCTGTGAGAGGCAAAAAAAAAAACCTCTACCTGCTGCTCTATTGCTCCAGCCCTATTTTTAAGTCATAGCAGCTGCTGATTCTATTTCTTTGCCTGTGGAATCAAAAAAGATTTAATAAGACCCTCTCTGTTCTTCGCTCTTGGGAGTAGAAACGGGTGTGTCCAAAATGCCTGAGGTCTTAGGACATAGATGTTCTGTGAGAAGGGGTAGCTGCTGTCCAAGGGAAAGTAAAATGAAAGGTCCCACTCGTTTGTAAGGGAGAAGATTTTTATTGCACTCATCTCTGTTATAAGATTAAGGGATTTTAAATTCTCATCATGTTCCCCCTCCCTGTCCCTTTGTTGTGATGATGGGTGCTGGGGTGTGCCTGGGCCCAGCTGGTCCTTGCCTGGACCTCAGGAGACCGAGCCGAGGTCTTGGGGCTGTGCCCCAGGGGACAGTGTTTCTCCAGCCTCTGTCTCTCGGGCACTGCACGGCCCTGGCTTCTGCCCATGTCCCCTTAGGGCCCCCTTGGCAGGGCAGCTCTCAGACACCTCCAGAGTTCAGAGGTGACCGTGGTCCTGGCGTGGTCCGGCAGGTCTCCCCGAGCACCGTGACTCTTGCACACGGCATGTTTTCTCTCAGCCCGTCTGAGCAGAATGCAGGGAAGGAGAGGTGAAGTCGGTCTCCTTCTGCTCGCAGAGATCAGGACGGCCGCGAGCTTGCAAGGTGTCCTCCAAGGTGCCCTGAGGGTTTTGCTCCAGAGTAGCAGCGTGTGGAGAGTCAGAGCTGTTCCCTGAGAGGCCTCTCGCCCCCTCCCAGGTGTTCCGAGACAACTGCTGCAGGAGGGAGATTCTGGCCCTTCAGATCCACTGCCGCAACGAGGGCCGCGGCTGCGCAGAGCAGCTGACGCTGGGACAGCTGCTGGTACGTACCGGGAGCCTCGGAGGTTCTCTCAGAACCAGGCTGCTTGTGCCCAGACCGGGGCTGAGGTGCAGGGCCCTGGACAGCCCCAGCATGTTCTTGAGTTCTGCCCAAAGGGTCTTTTCCAAGGAAGGAGGGAGTCCCCGGCCATGTGACGGGCACCTGACGCCCTGTTCCCAGAGCGCGGGAGATGGTGGATGGCATGGGTGGGATGTGTGCCCTGTGCGTGGCTCACCCAGTTCCATGCCCAGCACAGCCAGGACTGAGCACAGAGCACTACTGCATGTGGCTCCCAAGCCAAGCCTTTCTGCAGGGTGATGGGCAGGAGCCGGAGCAGTTTGGGCCACACCCCGTGGTGCTCGGGGCTTCCTTGACCTTGTACTCGGGCATCACTCCTGGAGGTTCTCATGGGACCATTGTGGGGTGCTAGGGAACGAGTCCAGTTGGCACCGCAAGGCTACCTTACCCCTTTCCTGTATCTGTGACCCAGACAAACCCTTTTGGGATAAAATTCCACGTAGCTTCTGAGGTTTGCTGTGGGTGTCGGATTTTATCCTGCAAAGTTGGGCGGTTGAACCGGAATGGAACCAGGTGCCCGCAGACGGCCATCGGAGCCGTTCGCAGCAGGATGCTGCCGGAGCTGCTGTTCATGCTGTCCATGGGCCTCTGGACACGTCTGTGTTGCAGGTGCACTTGAAGAATGACTGCCAGTTTGAGGAGCTGGCGTGTGTCCGCGCCGACTGCAAAGAGAAGGTCCTGAGGAAAGACCTGCGGGACCACGTGGGCCGAACCTGCGAGTACCGCGAGGCCACGTGCACCCACTGCAAGAGCCAGGTCCCCCGGATCAAGCTGCAGGTGCGCCCCCTTTCCTCAGCCGCCACACGGGGGGCCCCCCGCGTCTCCCATTCTCTGCCTTCACTGGGTGTCTGAAGCCACGTTTGCTTTTCAGATGAATCTTTTGTAAAGGTACAGCTTCTCACTTGTTCTGGGGAATTGCCTCGGACTCCTGGCACACGCTTGGGGCTCAGCTCACTTGGCCGGTGGATTTCAGGAACGACGTGTGACACTGAGCGGGAGGGGAGGGTCTTCTCAGGAGTGACACTAGCACAGCCGGGGTAGGGGATGATGGTGGGATCACAGTACCTGCACACTGGGCCCGGGGGGTGGGAGCAGGGCGCGCATGAGAGATGGGGCCCAGTGGGATGGGCAGAGCAGCTGGGGACAGGCGAGGCAGCTACAGGCTGGAGCGGAGAGGGAAAGGCCAGGCTCAGGTGCCCGGGGCTGGGGAGGGCCCAGGACAGCAGTGTCCAGAGGCAGCATCTGCGCATGGCTGGGCTGGTGACCGGTGGATGACTGTAGAGGCCCCAGGGGAGGGCTCTTGGGTGCAGTTCTGGACCCCCCCCTTCGTTAAAGGTTAGGAGGGACCCTCCTCTTTCCTGGCCTCTGGGTCAGTCTGCTCATAGCTCCAGTTGTTGGGAAGAATTTTTGGAAACTGTGTCCTTCCCTGGGGTGGTGGGAGAGTACAGCGGGAATGGCAGTCTCTGAACATGGCTTACCCAGGTTCACTTCCTGGCCCTGCAGGAGTGACCCCCTCGCCCCCACCCCCCACACCCCCCACACCCCCAACCCCTGCTAGGAGCTTCCTGGGCCTTGCTGTGAAGGAGGGGACAAGGGGCTGCCTAGGCTGTGGGCAGACCGCTGCCTGCTGGGAGGGGCCCTCCCCCTCTTGCAGATTTGAGGTCCACGGTCCAGGGCGTCTCACTGAAAGACAGGGAAGGCCTCAAGCTGGGACTCTGGCTCTGAGCTCAGCCTCGTGGCAGGTTTGGCAAAACCACGCTGGTGGGTCCAGAGCAGCCCGAGAGCTCCCATGGCCTTGAACCTGCCCTGGGGCCCTGCAGTCTCTGAGGACCCCAGAGGCAGAGCAGCATGTCTGTGTGCATGTGTAGGCATGTCTGCATGTGTGCATACTGTGTCTGCATTCATGTCTCCATGTGTGTTTGCGTACATGTCTGCACATGTGTGCGCACATGTATGTGCGTGTGTCTGTGTCTGCATGTGTAATTGCCTCTGTGTGTGCATGCGTATCTGCACATCTCTGTGCCTGTGTGCATATGTGTCTATGCATGTGTGTGAGCCTGTCTGCATATCTCTGTATGCATGCATGTCTGTACATCTGTGTGCATATCTGTGCCTGTGTGTCTGCATTTCTGTGCATGCATGTATTTACATGTCTCTGTGCATGCTTGTCTGCGTGTCTACATGTGTGTTCACGTGTCTGTATGTGCATGCATGTGTGTACATGTCTGCATGTGTGTGTACATGTCCCTGGTGTGTGTCTGCTTGCATGTGGGTAGTGTAGTGTCTCTGTGCATGCTTGTCTGAGTACGTGTCTGTGCATTTGTGTCTGTGTCTGTGTCCGTGTGTGTGTGTGTGTGTGTGTGTGTGTGTGTGTGTGTGTCGTTCCTTCCCTGGCCTGCCGCAGCTCCTCAGAGTGCCTAGACAGCGGGTGTGGGTGGGGCAGAGAGCACCAGCAGCTTTGACGGGGCCCCAGACTCTGGCATTGGAGTCACCGTCACCCCGCTGTGACAGTCTGCACACTGATGGTGGTCACCGATAGAGTGACCTTCTCGGGAGAGCACTCACTCCATACTCTTTCTCAGTTTGGGGAAACACTGGAAGCTGGGGCTGTGCCCCCCATGTGTACTGCTGAGGTAGGCTCAGATGCTTCCTTCTGGGGTCGAGAGAGAGCACAGGGCTCAAGGCCTCTGCGTGTGCTTGGTTGAGGTGGGCTTACAAGCACCCAGCACTGCAGGGCAAGCAGCCCCGTAGCCTGAGCTCTTGGTTGACTTGCCCCTCCAGTGGCCAAGAATTGCAGGGGTGGCCCCAGACCCCTGAAGGCTGTTTGGCCTCCCCCTCTTCCCTCCCCATGACTTACAGTGAGTGGTGGGCAGGTGGTTCTCCCACTCTTGTGTGCCCGGGTCACCTCGCAACGCCTCTCCTCAGAGATTGGGAGTGGCCAGTGGCTGTGGGTCCAGATCTGTCCCAGGACAGCAGAGAAGCATCCCAGCACTTCCGGGACATTCCTTACCCAAACCCACATGACAGAAAGGCTGCTGTCCTCACTGCAGGGCCCTGACACCAGCCTGGCCCGAAGCCAGACTGACCCGAGCACTGGGCGTCTGCTGAGGGCCATGGGGTGCCACGTACTAGCCTCGCAGTCCTAACTCAGGGCTTCTCCGGCGACACCTGCTCTGCGTGGACTCGGAGCGAGCGGAAGCGAGTCCGCATGCGCGACAGGAAGGTCCCTGAAGGACGGCTGTTCTCTGTCCCCCCTGCAGAAGCACGAGGACACAGAGTGCCCCTGCGTGGTGGTGTCCTGCCCACACAAGTGCAGCGTGCAAGCCCTGCTGCGGAGCGAGGTAAGGGCTGGGGCAGAACCATCCGCGGAGACGCCTGCTGCCGGGCCGGGGACTCAGCAGCGCGGGGTTAAGCTGCAGGGTACCAGCACAGATTAAAAGACTTTTGCACTGAGGGGAGGGAACGGTTTGTCATGCAAAGGTGATGCTTTTAGTTTAGTGGGTTTTTTTTTTAATTCATTTTAACCTCTGTAAAGTAGGACTCACTGTAAGATCTCCTGGAAGTAGATCAGCTTAGAGACCCCCCAAGAACCAGTGGCCACGCCTGCTGCCCAGTCACTGTGTGGGGCAGCACGGCCGGGGAGCCGTTCCGGGCATCTCATCTGCACCAGGTTCTGCCCAACCCCCTCTGTGACTGTCCCCACAGCTGGGGGGCCTGTGACGCCTGCTCTCCGGCCTGCAGTCTCTGAGCATTTGCACACCTTGGCGTTCGAGCAGTGGGTGGTCTAGTGTCTGCAGTAAACTGAGGCCCTGTGTGGGCCAAGACTGGGACACGGGGCACAGAGAAGTCCCACGTCTCCCCACCCAGGCCTGTCCCCACGGGATGCAGTTCCAAGGGCGAAGGGCACGGCCTTGCCGTGCCTTCCACAACAGCAGAACCCAGAAGAGCCGCGACAGGCGTTGATGGTCCTGCGGGATGCCCGGGGCGGCTTCAGCCTCTTGCCTAAGACGGGGTTCCCACGGGCGCGGCAAAGCCGATGGTCAGGCTCCCCGCCCCTGGGCTCCCAGGGCGGAGCGGGGCGGACAGGAGCGTCAGCGAGGGCCACGTGCCGAGTTCCTGGCAGGACGCCGAGCGGGATCCTTGGCCACGCGGAGGCCTGGAGCAGGCGGGGGCTGAGGGGCTGTGTGTGCTGCGTGCGGGGCGTGGGGCCCGGTGCACCGGATGCTTTCTCTTCTGTGTTCCATGCAGTTCCGTTTAAAGTCCTTAAATGTGCATTTCAGTTTATGTTTTTTTTTCCTCCTTTTTTTTTGAATTTCTGGCACTGCAGATGACATGTCCCCTTTTGAACGGTCCGTTGTAGAGAAGCTGCGAGTCGAGAGCTGCTGAGTGACTGTCTCTGTGTGTGCATGGCGGCATGCACGTGCCGGGCCGGTGCTCACTCCTGCTCCACAAGCAGGAGTGGCCGTGGCCGTAGCTGGTGACACCATTTGTGATGGGACATGCCAGATGCTATCTGTGCCCTTGATATGTCGGAACATTTCCATGCAGATGTTTGTGCCACAACTCACGTCTCTTTCCCGTTGCAGTTGAGTGCGCACTTGTCAGAGTGTGTCAATGCCCCCAGCACCTGTAGTTTTAAGCGCTATGGCTGCGTCTTCCAGGTCAGTATTCACCATCTGTCCTTCTGCTCGCTGACATTCCGCCATGAGAGAGAGTTACCGTACGACCATTGTCACCCACGAGTCCTGAACTTGAGCGCTTGTCATGAGTCCCAGCCACACTCTGCCCATGAGTGCCCGCTGGCCCGGCCCGGGGGCTTCTAGACAGTCGGGGTCCCCCAGTGAGACTCTGTCAGGAGCGCTCAGGTGCCCCGTGGCCCACCACACCCGCCCACTGCCCTCGCTGCGAGCCTCTGAGCTCAGCCGTGCCTGGGAACTGAGTTTCCGCTTTCGTGTGCAGTGGATGTCGGGTTTTGTGCGTTCTCCGGCATCCTCAGACTCCCCAGGCCCGTGAGTAAGGAGGCCTTCATCTGCCACGGCGCCCACCCTGTCGTGTGTGGTCCCATCATTCTGTGTGTGTATATATATATGTCCATATGCAGAGGAACTGATATCGCATATATATATGATGCCCTCTACAGAGTATATATTTTGGAGATCATCCAATTCTTCGTGGCTTCTGAAGCCCCTGTCAGAACTCACGGTTCACACGGGCTCCTGCGGGCCTCAGGAGAGGCCGCGACCGTGCTCCCCACCTGATGGTCTGCATCTTACGTACTCTGTAGACTCTTCATGTCCTGTATGTGGCCTTCTGACGCCCCTTGGAGTAGAGAGGAGCGGTAGAGCCCCTGAGCCACGCGGGCCTCCTGACCCGCTCTAGACCAGAGCAGCAGCTGCCTGAGGTGGCCGATCACGGGGCAAAGAGCGAAAGCGAAATGTCTCAATTTAATTCCGTGACACTCCACTCCACGTGTGAACTGAGACGCCCCAGGCCAGACCGGGAGAGGGTGGGCCTGAGCCGCCCCGCCCCCTCCTCTGTCGCTGTGGTGCCCTCCAGGGCCCAGAGACCTGGGAGGGAGCAGAGCCCTCGTGAGCTTCTCCCTGCTCGAGGGTGGTCCAGTCTGTGTGTGTGTGTGTGTGTGGGGGGGGGGGGGGGGGGTGGGGTGGGGGAGGGGGGGCAGGGAGAGAGAGGGGGAGAGGCACCCAGGGGGCCAGCTCAAAGCGCTTCACTCTGTCGTGGCAGGGGACGAACCAGCAGATCAAGGCCCACGAGGCCAGCTCGGCCGTGCAGCACGTCAACCTGCTCAAGGAGTGGAGCAACTCCCTGGAGAAGAAGGTGAGCCGGGGCCGAGCCACGGCACAGGGGTGGGGGCTGACCCGGGTTCGACCCCCGGCATCCCGTGTGGTCCCCCACACCTACTGGGCATGAGCCCTGAGCTCAGAGCCAGGAGTCAACCCTGAGCACAGCCAGGTGTGGTACAAAAAACTAAAAGACCAAGGGGCGAGCGGCCACAGCCCTCACGCTGTTCGGAGGCCCCCGGCAGGCTCAGGGAAGGGGATTCTCTCGAGCTCAGGAGCGATGGTGCTGGAGCCGGAGGTGGTGCAGAGCCACAGGTACCTGCCAGAGTGCGAACCCCCAAGCCACCAATGCCCCCCAGACACTACCAGTGTGACCCCAGAAAACAGCACCAAAAAGAAACGGGGCTGGCAAGACAGCACAGCCATGGAGGAGACCCCCGGGTGGGCCGTGGGGGAGACCCCCGAGGGGCGTGTGGGGAGACCCCAAGTGGGCTGTGGGGCGACGGCACAGCCTCAGTTCCTGCAGGAGCGCATGCGCCCACTGTGCTGTGTGTGGCTGTGGGCTCCGTCCCCACCCGTCAGCAGGGCCCGCCTGAGCGCCCAGGAGGCTGCAGGACCGTGGGCGCCTCCTGGCCAGCTGCTCCGAGGAGAGGTGTTCTGAGAGGGATGGGAGAGACGTCTGCACTCGCTGCCGGGGCTGTTTGCTAGGATGCAGACTGAGTTGTAGGTGCTCAGCAAGCCCCTGCCGGGACCTGGAGGGAGGCAGGTGGAGCAGATGCCCTCGAGAGCGCCCGTGCTCCAAGGTCGGGCACGGCCGCTCTTGCCCTGGAAACGGGGGCGAAGCCGAGGGTGGGAAAGGGCTCGTGTGCGTGTGCGGCTCGAACCCGGAGCTCGGTAGGTTTGCCTCAGAGCCTACGCGCTGCTCCAGCGTGGCCGCGGCCTGGGTCTGGCGCTCTCCCTGAGCGCGTTCTGCTTCTGCTCTAGAATGCAGCTCTCGGGCCAGTGCTGCAGTTTGCTGAAGGTTCTCCCGTTGGCTTAAAAGGAGAGGTTTGTCCCAGTGGTGGTGGCTGTGGTGAGGCTTAAGGGGGCTGGGATGCGAGTCACCCCCCTTCCTGCCAGGCCTGGCCCACTCTGGGTGAAGCCAGGATGGCTCCCAGAGAAACAGCACAACAGGGCTCTTGCCTTGCATGTGGTTGGCCCTGGTTTGATCCTGGCACTGTGTAGGGTCCCCTGAGCACAGAGCCAGGAGTAAGCCTTGTGTGCGGTCTGAAAAAAAAGCAAAGCAAGGAAGCCGGACAGAGCAGCCCTGTGACCTCGCTGAGGACCCGCTCGGGGCGGCTCCGTGTTGCATGTGCGCCCCTCGTCCCAGCAGCAGATGAGACCGAAAAATGAGATGTTTGTGTTGTTTGCAAATGGGAATGTATTTCTCATTCAAAAGTCATTCTGGGACGTGAGGCACAGGACAGGGATACAGCGTCTGTCTGGCTACAGCCCATAGAGTCCGCCACAGCCTCCTCCCAGGCAACACCAGGTCACTTCTAAGGAGACAGGAACCTCCCCGCGTGCCGCCACCACTGCAGTCACCCCCAAATCCAACAACATTCTGTTGGAGTCTCTCAGACATCTTTATTGTCCTTAAAGGAATATGTGAGTTCACCAAGGATCCTTTCAAGATCTGGATTAGAGGGTGCTTCCCTTCTCTCTCACAGGAGCAGGCCAGCAGTCCTTGGGTCAGGTTCTTTGATGTAAAAGAATGAATTTAGGACTGGGGAGAGGGGCCGGAGCCATAGTACAGTGTACAGAGTACATAGTACAGCGCACTGGTCTGCTGCCAACCCGGCCTCAATCCCCAACGAGCACCATCAAATGTTTCCTGAGTTCAGAGCCAGGAGTGACCCTTCAGCACTGCTGGATGTGCCCCCTCCAAAAAACAGTAAACAAAATAAAGAAGGATGAGGAAGAGTCCCTAAAATGAGCAATGGAGAGTTGAGTATGACCAAAGAAGGATTTGAAAGAGTTCCAAAAATGAGAACATTCGAGCGGAGTGTGACTCAGTGTACGTTCATTCACGTGAAATGCTTCTCTGTATACTCATCCTCATGGTCACATTATTTCTGGTGACATTCTTGAGGTTTTGCTCAAGAGTTGGCGTATGTCCATGGTAGAAGATCGTATCAGGGACCAGACTCCTCTGACCACTGCAAGCAAGGCATGAAGTGTCACTTCAGAAAGGCAGCCCCACCTCAACCGCTTCCAGTGACCAGATTCCCTATGGCCCTGGAGACAAACTTCAGGCAGCAGGGCCAGCCAGGACGCTTAGGCAGATGAAGCTGGGAAAAGGAGAGTTCTGTGGGGCCATGGGAGACTCCTGGCCAGTCCACATTTGCTCCAGAATTAAGCAGAGGCTGTCGGCTGCTGAGTATTGTGTCAGGACTGTCGGAGGTTCCTTCCCCAGAGGAGCCCTCGGTTCCCTGTGCCGCCCTGAGTACTGCTCTGGGGCGTGGGGAGACATGCATGTGGCGACGCACGCACATAGATGTATGGGCACATGCACACAGGGATGCATGCACAGAGATGCATGGACGCACATGCTCATGGAGACACGTGCACATAAATATATGGACATACAGGCACATAGATTCATGGACACATGTACATGTGGGAACACACGCAGAGATACATGGATGCACAGGAGGACACATGCAACAATGCATGAATGCATACGGGTACACACAGATGCATTGACGCACACAGGGACATACACCCATAGATGCATGGACATGCATACTCACACATGCACATAGGTATATGTGCACGTAGATCATGGACACACTTAGGCTCACATATACATGTCCGTGCTCGCATTCACACACAACATGGGGTGAACTGTAAAAATACTGTTTTCGGGGCTGGAGCGATAGCACAGCGGGGAGGGCGTTTGCCTTGCACGCAGCCAACATGGCCAACCTGGGTTCGATTCCCAGCATCCCACATGGTCCCCTGAGCACCGCCAGGAGTAATTCCTGAGTGCAGAGCCAGGAGTAAGCCCTGAGCATCGCTGGGTGTGACCCAAAAAGGAAAAAAAAATACTGTTTTCTGGTCAAAGTCTGAAAGTCACTCTGGTAAAAGATTCGTGAGTTTTCAACAAAGCCTTTTAAAAGCAGCCCATTCATTCTGAAGTTGTATCAGCCGCTGCATTTTGCCTCATTTTATTAATCACTGAGATTTTGAGAAAGTTTATAGAATTCCCTGTTACCTACTATTGCATGTGTGAAGGGATTTTGTTTCTGAAACTCCCTGTTGAAAAGGCCTAGATTGTGAAGTTTTAATAATCATTATTATACAGTGTTGTCAGTAGTAAAACCACTTTTTGTTAGGGTAACCGAAGAATCTCTTTTGCAGGTCTCCTTGCTGCAGAACGAAAGTGTAGAGAAAAACAAGAGCATTCAAAGTCTGCACAATCAGATCTGCAGCTTTGAGATTGAAATCGAGAGGCAGAAGGAGATGCTTCGAAATAATGAGTCCAAAATTCTCCATCTGCAGGTAAGGCTCTGAGGACTGTGGGCAGCAGAGACGGGGCCCTGCCTGTCTGTGCTCTGCTCTGTTGTGTGGAGACGGGGCACCCTCTGTGCTGCCACGGGGCACCCAGTGCCAGCACGTGCTCACGGCTGCCTTAGAGTAGGCGCTGTGGCAGGACGGGACGTGTAGCCCCAGAATCTCAGTGAGTGCAGTGACATGTGGAACCCTGGAACTTCAGTGCGGGCCTGTGCTGAGTATCTCCTGAGCGAGCCCTTTGTCAGGACTTTGATGGGGCGACCTTCAGTGACGCCGGGGCAGACAGCACCAGCAGTTGAGTCCCGTGGCCTGCAGAAGACCAGTCAAACTTCAGTAGTCTAGAACATTCTCCCAGAATATCAATACAACTCTAGCTATGGGTTCCGGAAATGTTCTTGCTTTTTTTTGGGGGGGGGGAGGTCACACCTGGCGATGCTCAGGGATTACTCCTGGCCCTGCACTCAGAAATTACTCCCGCTGGTGATTGAGGGACCATATGAGATGCTGGGAATCGAACCCAGTTCAGCCACGTGAAGGCAAATGCCCTACCTCCTGTGCTGTTATTCCAGCCCCGTTCTTGCTTTTTATTTTTATTTTTTATTTTATTTTATTTTTGCTTTTTGGGCGGGCTGGAGTGATAGCACAGTGGGAGGGCGTTTGCCTTCCATGCAGCCAGCCCGGCCGAGCCGGGTTCGATTACTCCCCCCCTCTTGGAGAGCCTGGCAAGCTACCGAGAGTATTCAATATGCCAAACACAGTAACAAGAAGTCTCACAATGGAGATGTTACTGGGCCCGCTCGAGCAAATTGATGACCAACGGGAGGACAGTGGACAGTGTTTAGTTTGCTTTTTGGGTCACACCCAGCAATGCACAGGGATTACTCCTGGCTCTGCACTCAGGAGTTACTCCTGGCCGTGCTCAGGGGACCATATGGGATGCTGGGAATTGAATCTGGGTCGGCCGTGTGCAAGGCAAACGCCCTATGTGCTGTGCTATCGCTCCAGCCCCTGTTCTTGCTTTTTAAATGTCAGCCCATATCTGGGTTTCTTCGAAAGTGGAGGAAGAGCGTCATTGCTGATGGTGGCAGGAGATAGCTGTGGGCACCACGCTCCAGCCCATAGCAGCTTTCTTCAGGCCTTTCTGGTGCTGCTGAGCTCTGCATGGCCACCACTGGCCCCGCTGGGTGGCCCCTGGTACCCCGCAGCAGTTCTGGGGTGCCCCCTGCAGCAAAGAGTAGAGGCCCCAGAGTCTACTGCCCTACCGGGGGAGCAGTCGTGCCTGTGTCTCTAGTAGGGATGGCCCGAGCCATAGCACAGCCGGAGGCGGGGGTGGGGGCGGGAAGGTTGCTTCCAGCACCCCAGCACCTCATAGGGTCCCCTGAAGTAATTCCTGAGTGCAGAGTCAGGAGTGACCCCTGAGCATTGCTGGGTGTGCCCCCACCCCCCAACAGAAAGAAATCCATGTGGGCCTTAGGCAAGGGCCACGTGAGCTGTTTGCCCTAGACGGGTGGAAAGGGGGGCGCCCCCGGGGCTGGGGCACACCTGGCCCACCGGACCTACACTGCCAGGCCACGAGATGGCACGGACCAGGGTGTGGGCAGCAGGTGAGGAGCTGGGAGCCAGGCGGCCCTCCCACCGTCCGTGTCCAGTCGCGGACGCTGCCCCCTGTTTCTCTCTGCTGATGGCTCCGTTGGGCACGGCAGCTGGCCTGGTGGAGTTTCTTGAACCAGTTTCTTGAACCGTTGCCTCGGCCTGGGTCGTCTTCTCGGGCGGTGTCTGTGGCAGAGGGCGCTGTTAGGGACCGTCACTGTGCTTTGCCTTTTTGGTGCCTTTGATCTGGAAGCGCGTGATCGACAGCCAGGCCGAGAAGCTGAAAGAGCTGGACAAGGAGATCCGCCCCTTCAGGCAGAGCTGGGAGGAGGCAGACAGCATGAAGAGCAGCGTGGAGTCCCTTCAGAACCGAGTGACCGAGCTGGAGAGCGTGGACAAGAGCGCAGGGCAGGCGGCGAGGAACACGGGTGAGCCCGAGAGAGGAGGGCACGCAGATGAACGGAGGGCGGGCCCCGGGGCTGGGCGGCAAAGACCCTGCATGGCCGGCCTAGCCCCGCGCTGACCCCTCACCAGACGGGCAGTGGAAAACCGCTGGCCTCGTGGCCCTTGGCCCTGGAGTCTCCAGTATTGGCAGGGGGTTCCCCGAGGGGTGGGGAGGGGGGTGGGGGCCAAGTCCTGGCCCTGCCGTGCGCTTGCTCTCCGCATCTTCCCCATGGCTGTCCCCATCCCCGCAGGCCTGCTGGAGTCCCAGCTGAGCCGGCACGACCAGATGCTGAGCGTCCACGACATCCGCCTGGCCGACATGGACCTGCGCTTCCAGGTGCTCGAGACGGCCAGCTACAACGGCGTGCTCATCTGGAAGATTCGGGACTACAAGCGGCGGAAGCAGGAAGCCGTCATGGGCAAGACCCTGTCCCTGTACAGCCAGCCCTTCTACACCGGCTACTTCGGGTACAAGATGTGCGCCAGGGTCTACCTCAACGGGGACGGGATGGGCAAGGGCACGCACCTGTCGCTGTTCTTCGTCATCATGCGCGGCGAGTACGACGCCCTGCTGCCCTGGCCCTTCAAGCAGAAAGTGACGCTCATGCTCATGGACCAGGGCTCCTCGCGGCGGCACCTGGGGGACGCCTTCAAGCCAGACCCCAACAGCAGCAGCTTCAAGAAGCCCACGGGGGAGATGAACATCGCCTCCGGCTGCCCCGTCTTCGTGGCCCAAACTGTGCTCGAAAACGGGACGTACATCAAAGATGACACCATTTTCATCAAGGTCATAGTGGATACTTCGGATCTGCCCGACCCCTGACTGGTGCCCGGGGAGGTCGGTTGAGCAGAAGGCGACTCCTCCGGGGGGTTTGAACGGGCGTCTCCACCCAGGTCCGCGCGGAAAGGGCCTCGTGGGGCGAAGGAAGCAGCAGAGGTGCGGGGGCGCAGGAGGAGCCCGCGGAGGGGCGGCCGCCGCACGTTCCCACAGACTCCAACACCTCGGAAGACTGACCTCCTGGCCGGAGCCACCGGCCGCCAGAGGCTTCCATCTCCATTGTTCAAGCTCTAGTTACTCAAGGTCGGAAACATTTATGCTAACAAAAGAACCGTGATTGTTCTTCCGTAAACTTGGTCACCAAAAAGAACACGTGCGCAAACCCACACACACCCACACACACACATGCACATACGCCCCGGGGTAGCTGGACATGTCAGCATGTTACATACAAGAAGAAGTTATGAAATAATAATGCAATTCTGGTATATTCATTCTAAACTTCAAGAGTGCAATCTTGTTTCAAATATAGTATATTGTCTATTTTTAAGGCCTCATCTGGTCTCTGTTTTAATGATTTGTTTGTCAGAAGACCCTGAGGTAGGCCTCGGTCTTTCTGGAAAGTCTAAATTCAGAATCATTTTTAATTTCAAGTTCTACCGATACCGTTACTGCAGACATTGTACTTGAAGCCGTGGTAGACGATGTCCGGGAGGAAGCTGCACGCTGGCCGCGGGCTGGGAGCGCCGCTGAGCGCGCCGTTATTTCTCGTTGGAAATGTACCTTGCACTGAGATGGGTTGTAGTCAGTAGCTGCTCGGAGCTACGGGACAGGAGGTTCGCTCTGGATGCTGTGCATCGTTCTCAGTTCTATGATTGTTTCACCCTAAAATAGGGCATTCGAACTTTGGGGTTCTCAACAAAACGCTGTCGGTCTTTCATTCTGCCCCGCGGGGCCCCGGGCCGCCCTCGCGTGGGGCCGGGCGGGCGCGGAGCGGCTGCGTGGAGCCGTGGCAAGCTGTCCATGTGCCTTAGACGGGCGTGCTGCTCCGCCCGCGGCGCGCTGGGAAGTGCTCGCCTGGCCCGACGTGTGTGACCGCCAGCTCTGTCTCCACGAGGGCCCTGCTCTGGGGAGCGGGGTCTCCCCCACCCCCATTCTGAAGCTTCCTTGTCACACAGTCCCCGAGGCAGGTGTGGTGGAAGCGACACCCCCACAGCCCCAAGTTGAGCCCTCTGAGCCTCGCAGAGGCCACTGTGCCGAGGGCCACCCAGCGCCCCGGTCCACTGGCCCCTGCCCCTCCATGGTCCAACTGTGATTCGAAGCCGGAGCCCGGCCGCCAGGGCCCCTCTGCTATGCACCGTGCTTCAGGGTGCTGTTCCCATGGGTGCTACGTGACGGGTGCTTCCCAGGCCAAACCACGCGTGCCACCGTGCACCTGTGCCAGTCCCCAAGGACGTGCCCGCAATTGGCCGGCAGGGCTGCGCCTCAGACTGCCCGCCCGCCTCTGAGCTCCGGGGCTGAGCGGCGGGGACGGCGCGCCGGTGCCCAGTGGCCTGCGTGTCCTGGTGCTGCCCTGGGTGTGCCTTCGCCCCAGTGCCTGCTGGAAACGCCCGCTGTCCTGGCTTCCCCGTGGGCCCCGGCCCCCCGTGACCCCGTCCTTCGCTCACGTGCTCTCCGCTCCCGGGGCTGCAGCCAGCACGCGTGCCCGCGCTGCCCACCGGGAGCCACAGCGTGGGGCTCCTGAGGAACCTCGGCTGGTACCCCGGCAGGGTTCCCCGCGCAGGGCAGGCACCGGCAGGCCAGGCTTTGGGGGCCCATGGGACCAGGCTTCAGTGGCGGCTCTGGGGAGGGGCTGGTGCCTTTGGTCCCGCCCAGCCCCGTGCTGCAGACCGGAGGGCACCCCCTGTGCTAGTGCGGGGCTGGGAACCCCTGGTACCCTCTATTGGTGCTTGCCCACCCCCTGGCCCCCCAAGACAGCTCCCCCGAGCAGAGGAAACGCCCCGGTGGGCTCTGCCAGGCACCCCAAGGAGAAGAGGCTGGGCGGGGTCCCGTGGTGGCTCTTTGGGACGGTCAGAACCAGCCTTCAGATCTGGGCCCAGAACAGACAGCGGGGGCCGCCCCAGCCCCCCCAGCCCCGTGCACATGCTTGCTGCACCCGCACCGCCCTACCCCGCAGCCCTCAGGGCGCCGGGGCTAGAGACCTGCCCGCAAGCCCAGCCGGGTACCCCTGAGCCCCTGTGGCTGCCCCAGAGCACGCGTGACCCAGGCGCCCCCTGGGCCGCGGGCGCAGCCGCCCGGGGGCTCCAGGCTCAGGCTGCCAGCCCAAGGGGGTGGGAGAGCAGCCGCCCGCCTGCCCGGGCTCCCGGCCTGGCCCTCCCTGTCACTTGCCTCTGGCCAGCCTGGTCCGAGAGCCCGGGCGCCGGGGAGCTGGACAGCAGCCCCCAGAGCCGCCCCCGGAGCCTGCAGAGGGAAGCGGGCGCCCCATTTGCATCTGGGCCGCATGCCACAAGGAAGGGTCTGGCACCCACACCGATCTCAGCCCAGGGCCCGGCGCCGGCTTCTGTCTGCAGGTTCCGAGGGTTCTGATGTCTCCGAACTGGAGCACGTCCGCGGTGAGGCAGGCCAGGTCGCTGGGAGCAGGCGCGGGCCGCGCAGCCTAGTGGCCAGCGCTCAGCAGCTTTCCCCTCGGCCCCTTCCACATCGGCGAGCCACAATCATCTCCCACGTCAGCGAGAGGAAGCGTGTGGGCCCCGTGGACCAGGTGTCACATTTCTAGAACTGCGTCTTCTCTTCTTCAGTTCTGTCACCCAAACACCAAGACCAAAGAAGGCCCGTCTGACGTGACTGTGGAGTCTGCCGGGCCAGCCGCCGGACTGGCCAGTGACCGCCCCTCTGCTCCCCAGAACCCTGACCTGACGCCCCCTCGGCGGGGCGCGCTGCGGAGTCACCACCACGCGGGCTTCCTCATAGCATTACGATGTCGTGTACTTCTGTTCACTGTGGTTTCATTTGGTATTTATTTGTGTTCTGAGGTCTTGCAATGTCTGTTTCTGATGCTAATAACTGAAGTTTGTAAGAGTAGAATATTCCAGCTCGGCGCTCAACTGTGTAGGAAAATAAACCTGCCAAGGGTCTCCTGGTCTCTCTGTGACCTTGCTGGCGGCGCGGGGCTTCCTGCCATGGGGGTGGGGGTTCCTGCAGGGAGGCAGACCCCAGGGTTGCTGGGGAGGTGACATTGGGGCGCCCCTGAGGAGAGCCTGGCAGTTGAGGCCCAGGTCTCATTCCTAGCCCCAGTGGGAACAGTGCGTGGCCCAGAAACCACCAGGCGGGGGCGGGGGGCTCGGGGTTGCCTCTGGGACGGGGCACCAGTGTGTGCAACATCCAGCAGGTTGGCCGCTCTGCCCGGGGTGCGGGCTGTTTGGGGAGACTGCCCTGGTGGCCGCCCAGCTCTGCTGGATCCCGCCAGGAGCCCCCCGCCCCCGCCACACCTGACAGTCCTGGTGTCCTGTGCCCCTGGAGAAATGGCTCAGACACTGAGGGGCAGTGAGGCTGCCTGGGACAGTTCTGGGGTGGGGATGGTGAAGAGACCTGGGTGGGGCATTCTTCAGGGTCCCCAGGCCTGAGCTGGAGTCTGCAGGAGCAGGGCCTTTGGAGAGGTGACCGTGGAGGCTGAACACAGGGGCCATACTGGAGAGAGCCACACTGCTGAGCCTGCTCCCGGCAAGGGACAGCCAGGCCCAGAGGGCCAGACCCTGCCTGTGGACACAGCGCGTCAGGGACAGCGTGGGGAGTCGACCTCAGATCAGGTGTGAGGGTCCCCCACAACCCGAGGGTGCCCTTCCGCACCAGTAGGTCTGTCCACTCTCTGTCGGGAGGAGAGGATCGTGATAACCTGTCAAAACAGCAACCCTGGGCCTTGATTGGAGCCAATCACAGGCCTCCCTCAGAGATCCCTCCGGGTGCCTCCTGCCAGGCCTCTTCCCCAGCATTGTGAACCGCCTGCAGAGAGGGTGGGAGAAGGCCCTGGGCAGGGACTTCCAGAGCAAGAGACATGCAGACTCAGCCCCAGCGCCAGAGCTGCTGGATCAGTGCCAGGCCTGGAGCAGCTGCCTCGCACTGCATCCAACCAGCTTGAAAGCATGGTGGTCAGCTTCCAAGTGGTCCTGACATTAGTGACTGCAGCTGTGAATGGCGGCAGCGCCTCGAGTCTGGGCTCCAGAGCCTGCCAGGGATCCAACTACAGCTCTGGGGGAGAGTCGATGCCTGTGCCCACGCTTGGCAGGGCTGCAACATCTGGATGCCTGCTAGTCTCTGTTTCCAGGACCCCTCTCACCGGGCAGGGAGGTCACTAGTACCCCACAGCCGCCTTTTGCCCGTCCTCCACGTCCTCAGCTGCAGCTGTGAGTTGCTTCCATATCTCAGCAGTCACAGCACCTCTTCCAAGAAGCCTTCCCTGGCCTCCAGGTGAGGTCTCACCACCTCTGCAGACAGCAATCCCCACCCTCAAGCAGCTTCCTTTGGGCATTAGTGCAGCTCATTTCTCCCTCAGGAGGGTTCCCAGCGTTCAACAGAAACTTCAGGCTTAGTTCAGACATTTGCCAAGTCCCCCAGGCTCTGCATGAGACCCTAATTAGGGTGATGGAGGGAGGCCAGGAAGACAGAACCAGCAGAACCAGCCCCTCCTGGGGCGAGTCCCAAGGTCCTAAACCTCCAGCCGCAGCCTACCCCCATGGAAGCAACAGGGGCAGCGCACAGACACTGCCCAATGGGCTGGTCCTGGGTGAGGCAGAGCTTCAGCTTCAGCGGCCCCGCGGGAGCCCTCCCCCCCCCCCCCCACCGACTGGGGAGGGTTCACCCATCCTGACTGGCAGCAGAAAGCAGGTGCCAGCCCTGCCGGGAAAAAGGAAGTGGCTCCGTGGCTCCGGGAGGGAGTCTAAGGGCTGTCTGCCTTGAGGAAAATGCTGATGCGCAGGATACTCAAGGACCCGAGGGGAGGAGCGGGGGAGGGGGGTTGGGGGGAAGATGCCCCCTTCACCCCGCGGCCCACCAGCGCCCCTTCCCCAGTCCATCCACCAGCCACAACGAGCGTGGGGTCGGGGCCCGAGACCGTGGGTAAGTTCCCTTTGGAGCCCCCTGAACCCACCCCAGCCGGCAGGCACCCCAGCCCCTGGGTAACAGGTAACTTCCCTGCGCCCCGCCCCGCCGGTCACGCGGACCCGGGTCAAAGTCCCCGCAGGGAGCTGCGGGCTGCAGGCGAGATGGGCGCGCTCTGCCGGGCTCTGCTGGTGCTCCACCTCTGCGGTAAGGGGGCGACACCCGGGGGGCCCGAACGGGGACCCAGCGCTCAAGGCTGCGCTGCGGGTCTGTTTCCCCGCCCTGGGGGAGCCGCCCGCTGGCAGCCCATGGTTCCCTGGACTGGCGCCTTGGGGCGCCTCAGGCCCCGCCCTAGCAGCCCCACCCTGCAACTCCTGCCCCTGCAGGCCCGGCCTTCGCAGGTCCCGCCCCTCCGTTCGGGCGCCACCCACCCCTGCAGGCTCCGCCCCGCTCAAGCCCTGTCACTATGGCCCCGCCCCTGCAGGCCATGACCCCGCCCCTGAAGGCCCCGCCCCCGTGGCCCGCCCCACTCAAGCCCTGTCCCTGTGGCCCCGCCCCTGCATGCCCCGCCCCACTCAGGTCATGACTCCGCCCCTGCAGGCCCCGCCCCGCTTATGCCCCATCCCTATGACCCCGCCCCTGCAGGCCCCGCCCCGCTCAGACCATGGCCCCCGCTCCTCTCAGGCCGTAGCCCCGCCCCCTCACGCACCTTCCATGTGGCCCCGCCCCGCTCAGGCCCCGCCCCACTCAGGCCCTATTTCTATGGCCCCGCCCCTGCAGGCCCCGCCCCGCTTATGGCCCGTCCCTGTGGCCCCGCCCCCCTCAGGCCCCATTCCTATGACCACGCCCCTGCAGGCCCCGCCCCGCTCATACCACGGCCCCCGCCCCTTTCAGGCCATAGCCCCGCCCCCCTCACGCACCTTCCATGTGGCCCCGCCCCGCTCAGGCCCTATTTCTATGGCCCCGCCCCTTCAGGCCCCGCCCCGCTTATGCCCCGTCCCTGTGGCCCCGCCCCCTCAGGCCCCATTCCTATGACCACGCCCCTGCAGGCCCCGCCCCGCTCATACCACGGCCCCCGCCCCTTTCAGGCCATAGCCCCGCCCCCCTCACGCACCTTCCATGTGGCCCCGCCCCGCTCAGGCCCTATTTCTATGGCCCCGCCCCTTCAGGCCCCGCCCCGCTATGCCCCGTCCCTGTGGCCCCGCCCCCTCAGGCCCCATTCCTATGACCACGCCCCTGCAGGCCCCGCCCCGCTCATACCACGGCCCCCGCCCCTTTCAGGCCATAGCCCCGCCCCCCTCACGCACCTTCCATGTGGCCCCGCCCCGCTCAGGCCCTATTTCTATGGCCCCGCCCCTTCAGGCCCCGCCCCGCTTATGCCCCGTCCCTGTGGCCCCGCCGCCTCAGGCCCCATTCCTATGACCACGCCCCTGCAGGCCCCGCCCCGCTCATACCACGGCCCCCGCCCCTTTCAGGCCATAGCCCCGCCCCCTCACGCACCTTCCATGTGGCCCCGCCCCGCTCAGGGCCCGTCCCTATGGCCCCGCCCCCTCAGTCCCCGCCCCTGCGGGCCTCGCTCCGCAGACCTGCCCCGGCCCCGCCTCCCCGGTTCCTGAGCTTTGCCCCAGGCCCTGAGCAGCAGGGACCTGCTGTCGCCCCCAGCGCTGACTCGGGCCGCCTACAAATTCTGGGTCCCCAACACCAACTTCGATGACGCGACCAACTGGAGCCAGAACCGGACCCCGTGCGCCGGCGCCGCCGTGGAGTTCCCCGCGGACAAGGTGCAGCAGTCGCGGGGCGGGCGTGTGGGGATGCCCGGGTGCGTGGGGAGCAGGGGTGGGCGCGGGGCTGCGGAGATCTGGGGGGACCCGCCACTGACGCCGCTTCTCCCCGCAGATGGTGTCGGTGCTGGTGCAGGGGTCCCATAGCGTCGCGGACATGGTGAGTTCCCCCAGCCCCTGGCGCCTCTGACCCGCACTGAGGGAGCGGCCTCCTGGAAGGGATCCCAGGCTGGTCCGGGCACCCCCCTAGGCCTGACCAGTCCCCTCCCTGGGTTCGGGCGGACCCTTCCCCCAGCTGCTCCCTACCTCTGCACTGAGGGTGATGAAAGGGTTCGGACGAGTTCAAGTTTGGGAAATGCAGTGTCACCGGGACTGTGCGGGGCTCACCCAGAGATCACTGGGCTTGTGGGAGAAGTTGGTCCACACCCACATCCCACGTACAGGATCTGCTACCTTTCTCCCCTGGGAGGAGTCGGGTCAGTGAGGAGGTCTGTGCTCAGGGGACCCCCTCCTACGGCCACCCAGAGTCCTGACTTCCTGCCTAGGAAGAGGGGGCCGGTGAGGTTCCACCTGCTGCCCCCACAGTCGTCCTATCCCGGGTGGGAGATCAAGTGCTCCTGGCTCTCGAATCTGGGGGGCCGGGCAGGTAGTTGGGGTGCCGTTGACTTTGACCACTGCAGTGCACTTGACCTCATGGGTGGGCAGTCCCGGGAGTGGAGACAAGCTGCCTCAGCTGTTCACCCACCCCCAGCCTCAAGGGACTCACGTGTGGCCTGGAAATAGCGACTTCCAGATCCACGGGCCTGGGTCTGGGCCGTGCAGTGGGCTTCCGTGGCCCAGCACAGGACAGGGGTCAGCGTCATTCCTCCAGTTGGAGCTTCTTTCCCTGGGGGTCCCTCCCCCCCCCACTACCCTGGCTTGTACCCCGTTTCTGCATCTCTGTCCAGTGGGTGGCTTCAGAGGCTGAGTGTGGGCCTGACAGAACCCACATCCCCCCACCCCTACAACTCCGCCCTCGGGCTGGGGCCTCTTCCACGCAGAGGCACCAACTGCATGTTCTCCACAGCAGTCCTGTCCCCTGGGCTCTGTGGGGCAGTAGTTGGGGTGCAGCTTTGTTTTCCTCTTTAGAATGAGCTCTGCCAGGCCCTCCCGCCTCCCCCCAGCCTTCCCCTCCTCTCTCCCCAGCCCTCCCCACCTCACACTAAGTCCTCCTTGCCTTGCCCCCAGCCCTCCCTGCCTCACAGGTCTGGCTCCATGGCTCAAAGCCCAACACTCTCTGGGAATGACCATCCAGAGCTGGGCACTGGGTCTGAGAGACAGGACCTGGTCAGGCACTGTCCCTTCTGCTGACCCCTGGTCAGTCCTCAGAACTGATTATGGTCCCCTGAACCCTGCCAGGAGGGATCCTTGAGCACAGAGCTGGGAGTAAGCACAGCCGAGGGTGACCAAAAAACCACACTGTCCTCCCATTGTTCATCGATTTTTCGAGCGGGCCCAGTAACGTGTCCATTTTGAGACTTGTTGTTACTGTGTTTGGCACACTGAATATGTCACAAGTAGCTTGCCAGGCTTTGTCGCGCGGGCGAGATACTCTTGGTAGCTTGCTGGGCTCTCCGAGAGGGGCGGAGGAATTGAACCCGACTCGGCTGGCTGCGCGCAAGTCAAACGCCCTACCGCTGTGCTATCACTCCAGCTCAAAAAACCAAAAATAATAAGCTTGTTGAACTTTATTTATTCTTTTCACATCCCGAGGAGTTATTAGTGAGATTTGCTGGGCTTGAGCCATCCTTGCCCACCTGCAGGCACAGATCTAAACTTGCTGCAAGATAGAGTCCCCGCTGCGTGCAGCGCACCAGACACGCCATTCTCACCCATGAGTGTGTGTATTTGGTACAAGACCGGAGCTGATAATCCAGGATTTTTGCATCTGTGTTTAGAGGTAGCACAAGCGTATAATTTTGATCTTGTGTTCCTTCTGATCTTGAAATTCATAGTTAAACTGGCCCATAAGAAGAAGCTGGCACTTTTCAAAACTCTTTTTCCAGGTCGGAGTGGGAAGGGTATTTACCTTGCATGTGGCCGACCTAGGTTCGAACCCCGGTATTCCATATGGTCCCCTGAGCACCGCCAGGAGTACTACCTGAGTGCAGAGCCAGGAGTAACACCCCTGAGCATCACTGGGTGTGGCTCCCCCACCCCAACAAAATTGTTTTTCAACAAACAATTCGAGCAGGAAGGAATTATTGTTCGAGAGTTGGGTGTCTTACTCACCTATAAAAACATCTTGGGTGGGAGTTTGAGAGCAGGAAGTCTCTGGCTAACACTGAATTTCTTCATTGATTATTTAAATTGTTGATTTTTGTGTACATTTTGACATTTGTTAAAGAAATCAATATATTTCCTTCAGGTTTTCCAGTTTGGTGCTCATGCTGGTTTCTTAAATTTGTCAGTGTCTACCCACAGCTCCTTCAAGCCAGCAGCTTCCTTGGAGTAAATCTAAGTCTTTCTGTCTCTGCCATGCCCTCACCGGCCGTCTTGTTTTCATGAGCTTTTCAAGTTTGTAAAATGGTGGCAGTGATGAGCTTTGTCTGGGCCTCTTCTCTGGACCCCTCATCTCTGCTGTGTGTCCGCCCCATTTCAGACAGGGCATGTGGCAGTCATTCTGTGGGCGGTGAAGCTTATGGGCATTGGTACCTGCCCTGGCCTTGAGATGCAGCTCTGCTCCATATAAACTGTAGGCAGTTTTTTCCTTAGATACATAAAATATTATTACTGTCTTGTTTTTTCTTTTTGGGTCACACCCAGCGACGCTCAGGGGTTATTCATGGTTCTGCACTCAGGAATTACTCCTGGCGGTGCTCGGGGGACCATATAGGATGCTGGGGATTGAACCCTGGTTGGCCAGGTGCAAGGCAAATGCCCTACCCACTGTACTATCTTTCTGGCTCCTGTCTTTTTTTTTTTTTTAATCTATGTATATTGGGGCTGGAGCGATAATACAGCCGGTAGGATGTTTGCCTTGCAAGCGGCCAACCTGGGTTCGATTCCCAGCATTGCCAAGAGTAATCCCTGAGTACAGAGCCAGGAGTAACCCCTGCACATCGCCAGATGTGACCCAAAAAGAAAAAAAAATCTATTGGTATTGCGGATTTCAGAATCTTTCCAGCCCCGGTCACGGTCCCCTTGGAGTTTGCGCATGCCCGGGCAGACACCCTGTCTATGAGCCATTTTCTTGATTTCTGTTGGGCACCTGAGGCTGCCTGAGCGCACAGTTCCCCACTTGGATCCCATCTGGAAAGTTTCCCTGCAGTTACTTCTGTATTTTTCTTCCCCCCACCCTTGTATTTGGATTCTGCCAATCCCAGATTGAGTTTCATCTTTCCCTACCTCTTCCCGAGAGTTCCATGACAGGAATGGAAGTCACCTTCGCGTTTACCTCACTGTTAAGCTCCTCATCAACTCTAGTGTGTCTAATACCTTGTGTTTTCCCTTGGGGGGGAAGGTGTCTTTTTTTTGTTTTGGGGACACACCCGGAAATGCTCCCGGCTTACTCCTGCTCTGTGCTCAGGGATAAGTCCTGGCAGTGCTCAGGGGATTGAAGCCAGGTCAGCCATGCGCAAGGCCAGCACCTGCTCCAGTGACTGTCGGGTCACTCTGGCCTCTGGCTCTTCACAGGCCAGTCCCTGTGGGGCTCGCAGGTGCGGGTTGGGGACTTGCACACGAGGCGCTGCTCTCAGGGCTGTGCTCTGGCGTCCGGGCCAGGTCAGGCCAGTGCGGGAGGAGCAGAGCAGCCCCTGACCTGCAAGCTGACACGAAGCTAAGAAGTCCCAAGCGGAGCCGCAGGGATCCACCCTGCCTGTCCACCCCAGCCCAGGAGGGAGCGGGGCGTCAGGACCCCTGTCCTTACGTGGGGCCCGAAGGTCGGGGGAGCTTCGGGGAGACAGGCTGAGCCATCCCTGCTCGCTTGCCTCAGGCTCCACTCGCCCGACAGGGAGGGCTGCCCTGGCAGGGTCACCCCGTGCGGGCTCCCCGGGGCCCCTCCTCCAGGGCCCTGCTCCCTCGGGTCTGTTGGCACCCGGCTGAGAAACGCGGCTGGACGCTGAAGAATATGGCAACCGTGACCACCCCGTGACACCGCCTCAAACTGCGCTTCCTGCAGTTGCTGCCTCTGGACGGGGAACTGGTCCTGGCCGCAGGAGCGGGCTTCAGCGCCGCGGACACTGCCGCGGGCCGGGACTGCGGCGCAGGTAAACCCTTCGCTGGGGTGGGGAAGGGGCGTGTCCAACGGCCTGTGGGCGTGTCGGGGCGGGACGCGGGGCGGGGCCTGCGGTGGGGCTTCGGGCGGCCCCGTGTTGGGCGTGTCCGGATGGGGGCGGAGCCCGAGTGGGCGTGCCAGGAGGTGTGGGCGGAGCCTGGATGGGCGTGTCTGGGTGGTGGGGGTGGATGGACCTTGGATGAGCACGTCCCGGTGGGGACGGGACCCGGGGTCGGGGCGGGCCCTGGGGACGTGCTTGGGGAGTAGGGGCGGGGCCCCGGGGGCGTGCCCGGGATGTGAAAGCGAATCCCTGTGGCAGTGCCCGCGGGGTGTGGTGGCGGGGCTCTGGGGGCGGGCCGGGTCCTGGGGGCGCGTCGGGAGGGCTGGGCCTCTGGGTGGCCGAGTCGGGCGGCTCTCAGGGCCCGCGACCCCAGGTGCGCCCGCACGTTTCCGGGACCCGGACCGCTTCTCCTGGCTCGACCCGCGCCTGTGGCGCCCGGCGGATGCGGACGCGGCGCGCGGCCTCTTCCTCGTGGACACCGAGCGCGTCCCGTGCCGCCACGACCACGTGGTCTTCCCGCCCGACGCCTCCTTCCGCGTGGGCCTGGGCCCGGGCGACACGCGCGTCCGCAGCGTCTCGACGGGGGGCCAGGTGAGCGGGCGGGGGGCCGGCGGAGCGGGCGGGGGGCCGGGGCTGCGCTCACCGGGTCCTTCGGCCCCGCAGACCTTCGCGCGCCCCGAGGACCTGGCGGCTTTGCTGGCGTCCCGCGCCGGCCGCCTGCGCTTCCACGGGCCGGGCACGCTGAGCCTGAGCCCCGAGCCGTGCGGAGACCCGTCGGGCTGCGAGTGCGGGAACGCGGCGGTGAGTGCGGCGGGGGCGGCGCGGGGCGGGCCCGGGGCCCCGCGCGCGCTGACCGCGCTCCCCGCCTCGCAGGCGCAGCCGCACATCTGCCGGGCGCTGCTCGGGCCCCTGGGCGGCAGCTGCGCCCCCGCCGCCTGCCTGGACGCCCTCCTGCCGGCCGGGCAGTGCTGCGGCCTGTGCGGTGAGCGCCCCCTCCCCCGGCCGCGCCCCTCGCCCCCCCCCCCGGCCCGGGCACCGCCGCGGCTGAGCCCCTCGCCCTCCGGCCGCAGGAGCCGTCGTGTCGCTGGCCCACGGGCCCGCCTTCGAGCTGGAGCGTTACCGGGAGCGGCTGCTGCGCGACTTCCTGGCCCTGGTAACGGGGTCCGGCCCCGCCCGCTCCCCGCCCCTGGGGCCCGGCGCCCCCGGCCCCCTTTTAATCCTGCGCCCCCCCCCGCAGCCCCAGTACCAGGGCCTGCAGGTGGCGGTGTCCAAGGTGCCCGGGGCGCGCGAGGCCGACGCGCACATCCAGGTGGTCGTGCGGGACGGCGGGTCCGGCGGGCCCGCGCCGGGCTCTGCGGGGCGGCTGGCGCGCGCGCTGCTGGCCGACGTCGCGGAGCAAGGTAACGGGCGTCCCCGCGGCCCGGCCCGCGCCCCCGCCGCCTGCGCTCACGCTTCCGCCTTGCAGGCCCGGCCCTCGGGGTGCTGTCGGCCAGTGTCCGCGAGTCGGGCGCGCCGCTGCGGGGCGGCTCCGCGGCGGGACTGTCGGGGCGCGGCCGGGCCGCGGCGCTGGGGGTCGGCCTGGGCGCCGCGCTGCTCCTGGCGCTGCTGGCCGGGGCGCTGCTGCTGCGCCGTGCGCGGGGGCTCAGGTACGGGGCTGGGGCTGGGGGCCGAGGTACGGGGCTGGGGGCCCGAGGGCGCGGGCCCGGCGCTGACACCGGCCGGCCCGCCCCCAGGTGGAGGCTGCGGGACGAGGCGGCCCCCGCGGCGCCGCTGGGCTTCGACAACCCCGTGTTCCACGTGGCAGTTCCGGAATCGCAGGTGAGGGGCCGTGGGCATGGGGGTGCGGGCGCCCTCACTGCACGCCACCCCTCTGACGCCCCCTAATGTGCCACACAGCCCCCAGATCCCCCAGCCCTGCCCGCGGACCCCCGGAGCAGCAGCCACAACTACTTCATTAACCCCTTATTTGCCGAGGCCGAGGCTGAGGCCTGAGTGCCCGACCAGCTCCTCCTGCCCACCCCATCCCCCAAGCCCCCTGCGCCCCAGCAGGGCCCCAGCTGGCTCAATAAAGGCGTTTTGCCTCCAAGCGTGGCCTCACGGATGGTGGGAGATGTAGACTGGGGTGATACCGTGAAGTGGGGGTGTCCCCAGACCTGGAGGGTTCCCTGGGAAGAAGTGGGGTGCAGTGGAGGCCCCCGCCACCTGGGGCGGGTGGAACTGCTCCAGGCTTGGTGCTTCCTCCTTGGCACAGGCCCCGTGGCCACTCCCAGTGGCCGGTTCAGCTCTGCCCCCGGGAGGGGGGTGCAGGGGCCATACTAGCCCAGGCACGGGCCACAGACACTGCCAGCCCTGCCCGGTCCCGCCGCCAGCAGGGCAGCAGGCAGCCGACCCAGGTGGGTGGGGAAGGAGCTGCCTCCCCCCCACCCCCAGTATCCTACTGCCTGGAGAAAGGCGGAGCCTGCCCAGCCCCCGTTGACCCGTCCCTGGTACCACTCCGCAGTCTGGTCTGTCCATGGGTACCCAGTGGGAGGGGCCCTTCCGGCTGCCAAGACCCCCCACCCCGGGGGCCCCCATAGGCCTCACCCCCAGCTCCTGGAAGTCCCTTCTAAAAGCGTCAGCCCGGAGCAATAGCACGGCAGGTAGTATGTTTGCCTTGCATGCAGCGGACCTAGGTTCGATTCCCAGCATCCCATATGTTCCCCCCCCCCGAGCACTCAGGAGTAATTCCTGAGTGCATGAACCAGGAGTAACTCCTGTGCATCGCCGGGCGTGACCCAAAAAGCAAAAAAAAAATAATAATAATAAAAGCGTTAGCCCTGTTGGCCTCCAGGCTTGGGAGATGCTGGTCACTGGGGGCTGGAACCAAGCAGACTCTCAGCCACCTCTGGGGGTTCCTGACCCCGCCCTTCCCCATTCTGTGGGTGCTCTCAACCCACCCCCACCCCCCATCCTGCTCTTGGCCCTGTCCCCCCCGTCCTGCCCTGGGCCCTGCTGTCCCCTTCACATCTGAGTGGCTCTTCAGACCTGAGGCGACTGCACACTGCAGTGGGGCAGAGACCGAATCTCTGCCTCTGAGTCTGGCTACAGCCACGAGAGCCCGCACGGGAACACTGGCCGGGAAGGAGCCTGCAGTCTTTCATTTCAAGATGAATAGTAACTTGCTTAGAAGTTGAATGATTCTGGTAGGTGGCAACTGCAGATTTTAAAGATAAGGCCTGGGGCTGGAGAGAGAGCACAGCGGGGAGGGCGTTTGCCTTGCACGCGGCGACCCAGGTTCGATTCCCAGCATCCCGTATGGTCCCCTGAGCACCGCCAGGAGTAACTCCTGAGTGCAGAGCCAGGAGTGACCCCTGTGCATCTCCAGGTGTGACCCAAAAAGCAAAAATAAATAAATAAAGATAGGGCCAGGGCAGTGGTCAGGGGGCTGGAGCACATGCTGCACAGGTGGCAGCAGAGTCCTTCCCTGAGCACTACACGATGAGTAATCCCCCACTTCCGCCAAGAGCTGACACGGGAAACGGGCACTGCCAAATTATGGCTAGTAATTTAGAGGTAGCTGGTCACTGACTCAAGTAGCTAGCACAAAAATATTTAGTAGATGCTTCACAGATGGAGGGCCGAATTTTTAGAAAGTAACACCCAAATTGAGGGTTGGAGAGATAGTACAGTAGGTAGGGTGCTTGCCGTGCATGTGACTGACATGGGTTTGCGTCCCAGCATCCCATGTGGTCCTACAAGTAACTCCTGAGTGCAGAGTCAGGAGTAAGCTCCAAGCACTTCTGGGTGTGGCCCAAACTCCCCACCCCCTCCCCAGTACCTCCTGTTGCAAGACATATGTCCCCCAAGAGCCCCTTCCTGTATAGCATCTGGGCGCCTCTTCCAGGGTCTTCCCCCATCACGCATGTGGCATTCCCATCCTCCCAGTCAGCTGACGTCTTCATTTGTCTTCTGTACAAAGGCCCCGACTGTTTCAGCCATTGTGGGCTGAAATTGGGGACTTTTCACCTGTTAGTGCCGCTGCGCGGGGGAACTGTTTGTGATCGTGACTTGCTGTTGTGAGGACACACTGCTGCGGCCTCCTCGCCAGGGAGGGTCCTGGGCCACGTGTTCACACAGTTGTCAGGTTCACTCACACCTTGTGCGCACACACAGCTGGATGCAGTGCCGGAGAACCATCTGGAGCCCCAGGTATGAGGCAGCAGGACCACACTGGGACACTGAGCACTTGAGGGGGACCATATGGGGTCCCAGAGATTGAACCTCATGCAAGCCCAGCATCCCCGCTGTAATGGGGCTCCGGCTGCTGGTCCTGTTTGAGGTCTCACATCTCCTGTTTCATGTCCTTATGTTCCGTTAGGATGTTGTCAGGACTGAAGGCCATCCCAGCGGGGTCGGGGCCACGCCTGGCTCTTCTGAGATTGCACCTGGCAGTACTGCTTTTGTTTTATGGGCATTTTGACTCTGAATTAAAATATATATATATATTTTTAGCTTTTGGGCCACACCCAGCGACGCTCAGGGGACCATATGGGATGTCAGGGCCGGCCACCTGCAAGGCCAGTGCCCTCCCTGCTGTGCTGTGGCTCCGGCCCGTTTGGACTGTTAGTTCTGCCCATAGCATGTGCATGGGGTGCCTTTCTGGACACTGTAGCGCCACCTGCACGGGCCTTCGGTGCGTTTGCTAGGTCTGTCGTTTCCTTCTTCAGTGACTGGGACTGTTCTCGCTTCTCATCCCATCCCCTCCTGAGCCTGCTGCCGCTCTCACTGCTGCAGGGGTCTAAGAGGGCGCTGCCCGGGGCTGGGCCTGTGCCAGGGCATTTGCCTAGTGAGCCGGGCAGTGTCCAGCTGGTGGAGGGAGGCGGTGTTCGCAGCACTCAGCCCTTGACACCGGGGGGGGGGGGGTGCTCCTTTAGCGCCCCATAGCCGAGCACATGCTCCAGCTGCGGGATTGGGGGTGATGGGCTTCCTGCTCTGGGACTAGGTGTTGTCATGGCGGGTGCCACTGCCTTCTTCCTGGGCCACCCCGGCGGTGCTCAGGGCTTCCTCCTGGCAGGGCATGGGACCATGATGTGGTGCTGGGGTCAAACTTGTGCCTTGTCACTTATCATCCTGGCCCTTCCCAGCTGTGGCCGCACTGCCTCTTCCTTTAGAAAGTTTTTTTTTGGGGGGAGGGGCTCCCAGACAGTGCTCAGTGCTTCTCAGGGCACCTCCCAGTGGCGCTGGGCTCAGGCCTATACTCAGCCCCGAGCCACCCGCTGATCCTGCCTCACTGCCCTCGGGCGTTCTCCTGGCCCTCGCCTGAACGGGCAGGTCTCTCCTCGAGGCTCCCTCAACCCGTCTTTGGCATCCATCTTCCTTCTGTTGGACTCGTTGCCTTTCTTCACACATCTAAGCCCGGGAAAGAGAAGTTTCTTGAGTCTTGAGACAACACGTAGGTGGATGCAGATAATCGACACAGATAATCAACACGGAACCGCGTCTCAGGGACTGGACCCTGTGCCTTTCCTTTGGTGCCGACGGCAGTGGGGCTGGGTGAAAGCCAGGGCTCTGGCAGGCCTGACCCGAGACTGTCTCCCAAATAGATGAAGCGCGAGGGCTGGAGGGGCGGATTCTGCAAAAGGTCCCACTGTCCACCGTTCAGGAGAAACGACAGCACTCTGTGCCCCAGGAAATGTACTCTCGGGTTCAAGTGAACCCTGCCCCGAAGCACCCAGCATTACCCCCACCCTGGGTGTCCCAGTGCCTGCGGCTGGCACTGCCCACTTGGGGTCAAGCCGCTCTGGAAGCAGTGTGGCCGGGCTCAGCACAGTGGGCGTGGCCGTCTGTGCGACCCTCCCATCAGGATGTCTGTCCCTTTAAAGCAGAGGGCATACAAAGGGACCCCGAGGAACTGCTGGGTGTCCCGAGGGTGGCTCCACCCCTCAGGGGTGCTCTGCGCCTTGGGGTGGCCTCTTGTGTACCAGTGACTTACAGGTGTTCTCTCTGGGGCAGACACGTGGACACGGAGTGTCAGATGGCCCCAAGGTCCCACACCTGCACACCCCCGCCCCGCAGAGCCAGGCGCAGCTCCCCGAGCACTTCAGTCCTTTGCGTTTCTTCCATGCCACCCCAGCTGTCACCAGGGGCTTTGTCAATGTTCAAGGTGCGGCACTTACTGGGGCTACAAAATACTGGGCCGTGCGGCTTTCAGTTTAAACTGAAGTCTAAGATTTTGTTGTTTTGGGGCGACACCCAGAGATGCTCAGGGTTTACTCCTGGCAGCACTCAGAGGGCCATACGGGATGCTGGGGACTGAACCCAGGTCAGCTTTGTGCAAACTTTGTGCAAGGCAAATGCCCTACCCACTGCACTACTGCTCTGGCCCCAAAAGTCTAAGAGATTTTGTGTTTGACGTTTCAATGACTAAGTTTAAATACTGTATTTGTATTTAAATATTGGGACCAAAGGGCTGGCAAGACGGTACATTGGGGAAGGCACTGGCCTTACATGCGGCTGACCCGGGTTCCATCCCTGGCACCCCATCTGGGCCCCCGAGTCCAGCCAGGAGTGACCCTGAGTGAAAATTCAAGAGCAGGCCCCGAGCACAGCCAGGTGTGATACCAAAGAGAACAGACAGAACGTCTCTCCCCACACACAGAACCCAGAAAGAGCCCTGTACCACAGCTCTGCTCGGCTGCTGTGTGGGGGTGGCCACATTCATGAATGGAGCCCGCGTCCGAGTGGGGCTCGGTTTTCTTTCCCCTGCTGGGTCACTTATTGTCCAGACTTGCGCACCCGCCTGTGACATTCCGGGTCGGGTCGTAAGGGCAGTGCCACCGAGATCCCCCTCAGCGATAGGGGATCAAACTCTTGGTCTTGCACCGACTGGCGCTGAGTGGCGCCTTCGGTCTGTGAGCCCGGGCGGACCCACTCACGCCTCTGAGGCCCGCAGCTGTCACAGCCCCCCAAGTGAGCAGAGTTCCTCCCGGGTGGCGCCCCGTTCCATACAGAGATCTGTGTGCGGGGAAGCGGGCAGGTTCGGGTGAGGGGCTGGCTTCCCGAGAGCTTCTGTGTGTTGTGTGAGCAAATGACACGCGTGACATCGGCGGGGGGGTGGGGGGTGGGCTGCTCCCCTCCACAGCCCCCAGTGGCTGGTGTCGGGCTCAGGCCAACCACGGGAGAAGCGGCAGCCACTTTCAAGCGGCCCTTCTGCTTTATTAACAGAATTGTTCAAAAATGTTCTTCACGGTTCAATAATTACAAAGACTCAGACTTACATTAAAAAAGTAAAAACCAGCCCCACCGGCAGACAGGGAGGTTTCTCACCCACGGGGCACACCCACGGGGCTCCACAGCAGCCTGACGCCCGCAGGACTCGGGGCAGGAGCTGGGAGTGGGGAGGACACAACTGACTGCGCGGCAGAGGATGGTGACCGTGATGGCCGGCCGGACACACGTGAGGTACTGGGGGGCGGGCCGGGCGGTGTTGCAGCTGCCCACGGCCTCTGCAGCCCCTGTCAAGGCCACCGACCACCTCCACCCCCGCCCTCCAGCCAGCAGCCGCGAGCGGCCCATGACGTCCTGTTGTCCGGGGACAGGCGTGTCCCCTGGTGCTGTGTGGTCCTTCATGTGCAAACGGACAGTGTCGCTCAGGCTGGGCCTGCTCCGCCTCCTATCTACAAGGACTCTGCATGTCCCTGGCCAGCACTGCAGGGTCAGCCCGGATGCTGGGCCGGCCACTCCGGCTTCAGGCCTCCGAGGCTGGGGGCTCCAGGCCTTCAAGGGGCAGCTGGCCCCTGTGCGGGGAGTTGGGGCTGGGCGGGCCGCTGGGGTTGGAGCTGTTGGACGGCGTTGAGTGCTTGGTGGAATCCGAGTCGGGCTGTGGACAGAGAAGGGAGGGGTGAGCCCGCGCCCAGGGAGCCGCCTGCTAGAGGCGCCGTGGGTGCACGAGGGGACCCCCATGCCACGGGCGCAAATGCAGACGCGACAGGAAGCTGTGTCAGTCTCTGGAAGGAAGAAGGAAAGTCACATGGGTCCCAGGTGTCAGGATTCTAAGTACAGAAACAGGCGACTCACAGCAAACAGTGGGAAACACCCAGCACCTGCTAACCGCGTCCCGACAGGACAGGAAAGCACCACCGGGGCCAAGGCGATGCCTCACATCGGGACTGGGAGGGCCACAGGTTGGGATCCCCGAAGCGTGAGCAGAGCCAGGGGTCTGGGCAGCGGGAACAAGATAGAGCCAGGACAAGCCAGGGACTGGCCCGTAGGCGCGCGGACACACGTCGCACAACAGGACGCCTGTGGCTCTGGCCAGGCTCCAGACCATCCCATGGCACATGGGCCTGTGACAACGATGCAGCACGAATGACCCTCCGGCCACACATGCCCCGGCCACGGCGCTCTCCAAGGAACATGAACTCGTGCCGGCCCGTGGACTTGAGTCATTTCTTGGCTTGGGCTGCACTCAGCAATGCTCAAGACTCACTTCTGGCATGCTTGGGGACCATAAGGGAGGCACCCCCCGTCTGCTGCCCCATGGCCTTGGGCTTGCCGAGATGCGACTGCGGGCGCAGGGCCGTGAGGACAGACCCGCTGCCCGCGCGCTGAGGGGGCAGTGTTCGGGGGTGGAGGGCGGCTCACAGGGCAGGAGAGGAGCTGAGATCACGCGCCAGGCAAGCAACCAGCACAGAGAGATTCAGTTCTGGGGCCACACCTGGTTGTGCTCAGGGCTTACTCCTGGCAGGCTCAGGGCGTCCTATGCGCTGCCAGGGATCAACCCGCTGGGCTGGCCTTGGGCAAGGCAAGCGCCCTGCCCCCCGTACTGTCTCTCCAGCCTCTACATAAGGTGTTCTCACAAGCCAGCAACAAAGAGAGAAGTAATCTAATTTTAAAAACTGGGCACTGGGGCTGGTGAGAGCTTTCCGGGTTGGATGCCAGCCACTGCAGGGACCCCAGCACTCCCCCCAAACTCAGAAGGACTACAAAGTGTACTGGCGGGCATCATGGTCCACTACAGCAGTGTGGGCTGGGGACCAGCCGGGCGATGGCTATAGCTAACAGCTGGACCACATCCAGAACCCAGGGCCGGGAGGGCGTTTTTCCCAGAAACGGGAAAAGGTTTGGCTGAAGGGACCGTGACTCCTGCACGTGCGGCTGCGGCAGGGAAGAGCAGGGCAGAGTGGGCATCCACACACGGTTCTGGGAGGAGACACCTCGCGCCTGCAGCAGAGCTCACTGAGCTGTCCAGAAACACTGAGCCAGTGTGCTCTGCAAAATGCTGTGGCACCACAGAACTCAGCAGACGGCCACGCTGGAGGCGTGGCTGGAGGGGCAGAACACCCCCACTCTGAGAACGGGCACGATCTGGTCAGCCTCTGCAGGGAGAGTGAGCGCCCACGTGCAGGGAGTGTGTCTTGGGAAGTGCCAGTTTTTGGGGGGGGCCACAATATTGTAACAAACCATGTGAGGAACAAGACTCTGGACCGAGTCGTGCCATGACGCCCAACAGGAAGTGGACCCGTGGCCTGAGGAGCCGCAGAGAGAGCGGGGAGGCTCTGCCCGGGGCATGTTGGGCCCTGGCCGCTGAGCACCGCTGCCGCTCCCCGGACATCCGGGTGAAGCCGAGACGCTGAGGCTTTTCTGCAGGCTTGGCAACTTCCAAGATAGTTAAGGGGGAAAAAAGTGAGCGAAAGAACCTATTGCGAGCATCAGCCAAGAGCCCATTTGTTCCCGTTTCCGAGCCCCAGCCAGGCTGCCCAGGGGCACGAGGCCGTGTGTGCAAAGCTGTGCATGAGCCCCAGCGTCTGGGGGACGCACACGCGGACTCCGTGCAGAACCCGGGCCAAGCACTGTGGCAGTATCTCACCCCAGGAGAGCCACGCCAGCCCGCATGCGACAGAACATTCCGGTCACCGACCAGCCCGCTGAGATCTCAGCAGTAATCAAATACACAACGAATACAAGAGTCCTCAGGCCTCGAACAGCGGGATTGGGATGCTCTCAACCACCTGACATACCACACAGGCGCCCCCGGGGGCCCCATTGCCCCGAGAACGCAGCAGCTCTCAGGCAGGGCGGCCGAGGGGCCCAGTGGGGGCCGCCAGAAACTGGGAGCACTGATGGTTTTCACACCGACCTGAGGTCAAGGGGAACAAAGCTTTGCTCAGCCTGATTCCATCAGGTCACGGTCACATGAGCTGGAGAAGCTCAATCTTTCCTCATACCACCACACACACAGGGTCTCCCCTCCCACATACACACAAAGGGCTCTCTCTCTCTCTCTCTCTCTCTCTCTCACACACACACACACACACACTGGGGCCTCTCTCACATACACAGGGGTCTCTCTCTCTCTCTCACACACACACACACACACACACATAGGGGTTTCTCTCACATACGGGGGTCACATTCACAGGAGGCTCACACACCCAGGGATGACCTCTCTCTCACATATACACAAGGGTCTCTTTCTCTCACACACAGGGGTCTCTCTCTCTCTCTCACACACAATGGGTCTCTTACATAGGGGTCTCTCTCACAGGTGTTTCACACACAAGTTTATCTCATAAGGATCTCTCTCTCACACACACACGGGTCTCTCTTTCACACAGGGGTCTCTCACATAGGGTTCTCTCTCACAGACGGGTTTCACACACACACAGGGGCCTCTCTCACATACACAGGGTTGTCTCTCTCTCTCTCACACACACACACATACATAGGGGTCACATACACAGAAGTCTCACATACCCAGGGATCTCTCTCTCACATATTCACAGAGGTCTCTTTCTCTCTCTCTCTCTCTGTCTCACACACACACACACACACACACACACACACACACACGGGTCTCTCACACACATACACGGGTCTCTCTTTCACACAGAGTTCTCTCTCACACAGGCCTGTCTGTCCCTCACACACTGTGACTGGGTGCGACAAGCTCACGTACGTGAGACGAGTGAGGTCCCCTGCCCAGTGCCACCCTCACTCTTCTCCCACAGTCCCTGACCACTAGAACGGCCTGGCGGGAGAAGCCCCGCCTAGCCCACAGCGTCCCACCAGTGGCCGAGGACACATGGAGTCAGGAAGGGGTCCTGGCATGGGCCGGGCAGCTGGGGTGACGAGGGGCGGAGCCCAGATCTCCCAACAGCCTGGGCCCTCAGTCTCGCGTGGCGGGGCTGGCAGCTCTCACCTCTCTGTCAAACTCTTGGTCAGGGTCGGACATGCTCCGCAGAGGCACGGCCACTCCGGGCTCCGATGCACCTAGGGCACGGGGACAGCGTCAGCTCGGGGGTGTCCGAGCTCGGGGAAAGCAGCCCCGCTCCCCGGGCCCCGCCGCTGAGCCGTACCTGCCGACGGCCAGGAGATGTAGGGCTTGTTCCTGAGCGGAGGCTGCCGGGCCGCGCCGGGCCTCTCCTCCTGGGACGGGGGCATGGCACTCTGGCAGGGGAGCGGCTCGTGAGCGAGTGCAGGGCCTGGCCGGGCCGAGGGGAACCACCCCGGCTCCTCTCCACCTCCCCCGTACGCCGGGAAACGGCGGCACTCACCAGGGGCAGGTCCATGAGCACCTGCAGCCCGTCGCCAGGGCCCATGTGCGCCACGTGGTTGAAGTTGGTGGGGTTGGAGATCATCTTGGAGCGCAGCTCCGGGTCTCTGAGCATCTCTCTGTGGAGGGCCGAGCGTGAGCGCCCGAGGGCGCCGGCCCCCCACCCCCCCGCCCCGGCCCCCACTCACCGCCGCTGCTGCAGCCGCTCCTCCTCCGGCACCTGGAACACGAAGCGCCTCTTGCTCCGCGTGCGCAGCATCTGCTTCCTGCTGTTGTCCGACGTCTCGGGCACGTTGAGCGCCGGCCCTGGGGGGGGGGAGGCGGACGGTCAGGCCTGGGGCCGGGGGCGCCGGCGTGGGCAGTGCCCCTGGCTGGGCTCACCTGTGAGCTTGCTCCTGAAGTAGACGAGGCGGGGGGGCTCACAGCTCAGGAGGTTCAGGCTGCCGTCCAGGTTCAGGGGCCGGATCTGGGGACGGGGGGACGGGGGGACGGGAGGCCGTGGGCAGCTGCCCATGGAGCCCAGGCAGGGACCCCTCCCACGGCTGGCCCAGCCTTACCCTCCGCAGGCCGATGGTCTGCACCCACTCCATGGTGCGCACGTCGAACACGTCCACGCCGTACTCGCTGTACACCGTGACATGCGAGGAGGTGCAACCTAGGCAGGACGGAGCGGTCAGCGGCGGGCAGCCGCGCTCTCTGCGCTTTCACAGGCCCGGAGGCAGGAGGTCAGTGCAGAGGCCAGTGCTCTGCCAGCCTCACCTCCAGGCCAGAAAATCATTTGGAAAAACCTCCGCCTGCACGAAGGACCGAGTCAGTGTGACATTTCCTCAGACCGAACCCATCCCTGGCACGCGAGGAGCCCGGTGCCGTCTGCGCAATCAGTGTGTGTATCCCGGGCCCCCGCACAGGGCCAGCCCTGCACACGCCATCTCTCTGCCTGCCATGAAGTGAGGTTGGCAAGCAAATAAAACATCGATCAAAAAGCAGTGCTCAACTTTGGAGCAAAAAGTTCGCTAGCCCTGCCACCATGCTATAACGTGGCTTTCTCCAGGAAATTAACCCATCTACAACGTTCTGAACCCAAGAGGGAGAAGGGCTCCCCTACCAAGGCCCAACCCAGTGGGCCCCAGGCACTGGCAGGTTACGGGGAACTGCCCCTCTGAGTCTGAGAGAGCAGGGCGACTGTCTGGAAGGATGGAGGCAGCAGCTGGCCCAGGGGCCTGTCTGCAAAGGGCCCTCGTGGCTGCGTCGTGGATATGACAGAAAAATTAAACATGGTCGGGAAAGAGACAAGAGTGCTGGGCTTGGTCATCAAACCGCTGCAGAAGACATGTTTCACTGACTGTGAGGGTGCTGGCAGCCGAGGGCTGGACACTCCGAGGAAGGGTCCTGCCCTGTCCCTCACCAGGTCACTCGGCACAGCTGGCTCCCAGCACCCCTCAGTCACCTGCGTGGGTTTTTTAATTTTTGGGTTTTTGTTTTAATTTTTGTTTTTTGGGCTACACTTAGCAAAGCTCAGAGATTACTCCTGGCTGTGCTTGCAGGGATCATTCCTGGCAGTTCTTGGGAGCTGGGGATCGAACCTGGGTTGGTCGCCTGCAAGGCAAATGCCCTCCCCGATAAAGCAGCAGGAAGCCCATTCCCAGGCGGGAGGAGGGCAGGGGCGCATCAGGACCAGCACCCGCCCAGGGGTGCCTGTGGCCCGCCCTCACAGTCCGCCAGAAGGATCCTCAGGGACCTTCGGGGGCAGCACCGGAAATGCTCACCCACTCAACGCAGACCCCGGGCTGTGGTCAGCGGGGCTGGGGGTGCACGGCCGGACCCCTCCCAGCTGTGCCCTTTCCACCTGAGACCCCCGCCTGGAGCCCTCCACCACCTGGCGGGGCTTCGTCCTGGCCTCCAGCGTTGGTTTGTTTTGGGTCACACCTAGCAAGACTCAGGGGCTCCTCCTGGCTCTGCGCTCAGGAGTTCCGGCTGGTGGAGCTTGGGGGACCCAGGTGGTGCCCGGGATGCAGTGTGTGGAGAGCACTCTCCCCACTGTGCTCTCCACGGGCCCCCGTTTCCACAGGAGACACCCCAAGCTCTCTCGCCCAGGCGGTGGTCCGGCCCGGCCTCTTCCTGCCACCTTCCGCTGCAGCTGGGTGGTGTCAGCTGGAACGGTCGAAGCGTGCTGGGCCCTGCAAGGCCCTTCGGGGGCCAGAAAGCTGTGGACACGGGCCGGCCAGCCTGAGACACCGGCGAGGGGGTGTGAGCGGGCCTCGGGCGAGCGCAGGCAGGAGGCAGATACATACTGCAGGCGACCGGCGCCGCAGGCCACATGAGCTCCTGCGCGCGCGCCCTGCGGCCCTGCGGGTCCACGTAGAGGCCCAGGTGGCTGAAGCAGAGCAGGAACTCGTCGCTGGCGAGCTGCACGGCGCCCAGCGCGTCCAAGGGCTGCTGGGACAGGAAGGCGAGCGAGGGGTCGCTGGGGCTGACCAGGCTCACAGTCTGCCCGTCGCCCTGGGGGCTCCACAGGCAGAACCCGGACGGGTAGCCCACGCAGAGCCTGTCCCTGATCACGGCCATCCACTGCACGTGGCCCGGGACCGTGGTCTCGCAGAGCTTCCTGTGGAAAGGCTTAGTTCTCTGCAGCTCGTAGCACAAGACCAGCCGCTTGGCCGCCACGAACAGGCAAGTGGCCGCGCCCTTCCTCAGCGCCCCCACGGCGATGAGCTGGCAGCCTTTGGTCTCCGGGAGCTTGATGTCGGCGCTGCTCTCCGCGCCGTCCAGGGAGGCCCAGGGGCAGAGGTGCACGTGGTGGTTGCGGCCGCAGAGCAGGGCGACCACCCTCTCCCGGGGCGCCAGCTCGATCTGGTACACTTTCTTGTAGTCGGCGGCGCGGACGATCACTGCGGGGTGCAGGGACCGTGTGAGGCGCCGGGTCTGTCCCCGCCTCATGCCCCCTCCCGGGGAGACCCTGGACCTGCTCAGGCCGTCTTTGGGGAGCAAGGGGCGGTCTCTAGCTCACCTGGTGCTGCTGGAAGCATCTGGCCCCTCCCCGCACCCCAGAGACCTCCGCTCAGGGCGTGCCTGGCAGGCGAAGGGCCCCTCTCGGCGGGTCTCGGTGCTGCCCTGACCCGCTGGGGACCTGCCTGCTGCCACTGCCCTCCGCCCTCTGCTTTCCCGTTATGGAAGGTTCTGGGACCTGACCAGGTCTACTAGCGGGACAACAGGGGATGTTTACTACTCACCGTCGCGGTTGACCTCAATGACATATAGCCCTTCCTCCAGGCCGATGGCGATCCTGTCCCCATCTGTGGAGGGGCGGGAAAGCGTTACGGCCAGCATGGGGGCGCAGGGGCTCACGGAAGCCGTCACGCAGGGCCCACTGGCACGCACCCACGATGGCGGCCGCCAGCACGGTCTTGAGAAGGGGCAGTGAGCTGTCGTAGGCCTCCTGCGGGACGTGCACCGCCTGCGACCGCAGCTGGTTCTTGTGCAGGATGGCCTGGAGGCCCTCCAGGATCCCCACCCACTTCCGCTTCTCAGTCTCGTTCTCCGTCAGGATCAGCAGGACGCTGGTCTTCGAGGGGGTCCCCAAGAGGGAGGCTGTGACCTGTGCGACAGGACAGAGGGGTTGGAGAAGGACCTGAGAACAGCGTCCACCAAAAAGGCCCGTGTGGCCACGCAGCAGACGGAGGGGCCTCTCAGTCCATCCGGGGGACTGGGTCCCACGTGCCCTCCCGTGCTGCTCCCAGCTCCGTGCTGTGCCAGGGACAAAAGGGCACCCTCCACCGTCCTGGTAATGCAGACGCCGTGCTCTGGTCTCGACCCAACATGCCCGAGAGTACCCAGGACGCCTGGGGGCTGCTGCCACCTAAACCCACCAGTTCCTGCTCTCCACGGCCATGTCTGTCTTACAGACAAGGGGCAAATTCTAAACAGAGATGGGATTTGGGCCAGGCCCGGCAATGCTCGGGGGTTACTCCTGGCTCTGAACACAGGAATCCTTTCCTAGCAGTGCTCACGGGACCCTCTGGGATACTGGGGAGCAGCACCAAAATGCCCTTCCTACTGTGTGATCTCTCCAGCTCCATGAACAGAGATGGGATCGAACTGAAAAAGTCCCATGTGGCTGACCCTAGTTTAATCCCCGGCACTCCATATGGTCCCCCAGACATTGCCAGGAGTGATCTCTGAGCACAGAGCCAGGAGTCAGCCGTAAGCACTGCTGGGTGTGACCCAATAACTCGACACCCCTCCCCCACCAAAAATAAAAAGAAAAAACATAACCAGAGACATATTTGTGCTCTCACCCAAAATCCTACTGTTTACAGAAATACAAAGAACAGGGTCAGGGAGAAAAAAAAAGTTCTTTTTCTGGTTTTCTGGAAGCTTCCTAGTGTCCGGTGCTGAGCCTTGGAGTCGTAGGAACTTACCCTGAAGATGCACGGGATGTCTCGGCGCGTGGCGTGGATGACATCGGACGCCAGCACGGAGCTCACCGAGAACTCTTCGTCTCTGGGGAGAAAGAAGCGAGTCAGGACACGGAGTGGGGGGACGCTAGGGCGGCCACGGGGCAAGTGAGAAGCATCTTTGCTGAGTTGGCTCCCGGGTCTCTCGAGCACGTTCCCGACCGACAGCTGCGTGCCGAACCATCAGGGATGAGACTGTACGAGCGAGACTAAACTCGCGCTCGTTTAGGATGAAGGGAACAAAACACGCAGGGTGGAGGCCAGCATGTGGTCCAGGGTCGAGAGCGTGCCGGCCCTCGGGCCTCCGAGAACCAGCACGTGTGCAGTCCCCAGTCCCAGAGCCTGGCGCACACACCTGAGGTCCAGCACCTGGCTGGCCACGACGCTGGGCTGGGTGGCCTTGCCCTCGGGCAGGTCGTACAGGAAGAGTCTGCAGTCGCAGACCACCGCGTAGGCCCGCTGCCAGCCTTTCTTCACCCCGGTGGGCTTCGGCACCTGCGATCAGACGCACACGGTCGGCGGCTCACACCACGGGCCCCAGCCTCCCAGGGCTGTGCGTGTGCAGGGCCCGGCTGACCACGACTCCCGTCCCACTCCCTGGGGCTTGGCCCTGCCAGCACGGCGGCCCTGGGCGGGGACTGTGTCCTACCTTGACGTAGCCCTTGTAGGCTGTCCCAATGCCGCGCTGCACGTCCACACCCAGAGGCCGCTTGGCCTGCTCCGGGGGGAGGGGGCACACTTGGGGGGCGCTGTCCTTGCAGGACACGTGGCAGGCGAACGAGCACACTGCAAGAGGAGGCGGCTGTGAGTGGGCGCCGGCCCCCAGGGACACACGCCGCGCCGAGACACGCACCGTGGGCGCCCACTCACCCTCACAGGCGTAGCCCTGCCGGATGAGCCCCACCATCAGGGACGTGCAGTGGCTGCACTGCGTCGGGCTGGAGAAGGACTTGATGCTGAACTGGTGAGCTTTCGGCTGCGGGCGAAGGGCGAGAAGTGAGCCTGGCGCTGCGGCACGTCCAGACCATGCGGATGCCCCGTGGCCAGGCAGAATACATGCAGTTTCCCCGGGAGGTCTAGAGGCTGAGCCCCCAGAGGTGGCGAGCCCCCCCGCACCCCGCCAGAAGACACTTCCTCGCCAGCCTGCAGTGAGCCCAGCGCCAGGCGCACAGGCGTGAGTGGGCGGTAGCCCAGCACGCTGGATGGGCTCCACTCCAGCAGGAGGACGTTGGCCGGGAAACAGCAGGTGGAAGTTGGGGGGACAGGCTGGGGGTGGTTCAAAGGACTGAGCGCAGGCCCCCCACAGTCCCGACAACCCCTGGCACCACCAGGAACGGCCCAAAGATCCAGAAACAGGGCAGAGAGATGGTGGGCAGCCAACCCAGTTTGATCCCGGCACCCCACACAGTCCCGAGCCCTGAGCACCACAGGCCGCAGTCGCCCAATCGAAAAAAAGAGATCGTCAATCTCGAAAAGGGGGTGATGTATCTGAGACACAGGAGTCTGGGCCCCCTGGTCTGACCCCGGGTACTGCGTGGTGGCCATCACCACTGGGGGTCCTGAAGTGGAAGCAGAGTGGGTGGTCCAGGTGAGTCCACACTGGAGACCCCAACAGCGCGCCCCACCCCACCCCCAGCCCTCATCCAGCCACAGTTGGGGCGAGCCCCACGGCTAGCACAGGCCCGATCCCTGGCAATTCAGACGGTCTCCCGAGTGCAGAAGCAGGAGTGACCCCTGAGCTCAGCCAAGTGTCGGCACCCCCCTTCCCCCAAAAAAAATCACCAGGAGAGGGGCTGGGGAGATGGTACAGTGGGCAGGACGCTTGCCTTGCACACGGCCGACCTGGGTTTGATCCCTGGCACCACATGTGGTCCGCAGAGCCCACCAGGAGTGATCCCTGAGTGCAGAGTCAGGAGTCAGCCCTGAGCACAGCAGGTGTGGCCCCTCCCACAGCCTTCCCAAATAAAAGAATCACCAAGAGGGGTCCCCAACACCCCTTAGGAGACCCGGACGAAGGCAGAGGGGCCTTAGAAGCTGCGGAGAGCAACCATCAATCCAGGAACTCTATAAAGCCCCGAAGCCCAAAAGCCAGGTGACTGCCCTGGCCCACACTCGAACCCCAGGCTTCGTGCCGTCAGCGTGGCACACGTGACTCCATGTGGAAGCCCACCGCATCACAACCCCGGATTCCATGTGCAGACAGACATGGAGACTGATGTGGGGGTGGGGGGCAGAGGAGAGGCGGGGGCTCCTTCGAGAAGGGAAGGAGTCGGGGTACAGGGGGGCTGAACCTGAACCCAGGGCAGGTTTCCGCAGGCCTACCTTGGGTCCAGCCAGCGCTGGGGCCTGTGTGCTGGACAGCGAGCCGGCAGGTGGTCTATGTGGGGTCCGAACCATGCCCTGGGAGACAAGCAGGCAGTGAGTGGGGCCCCTTCCTGCCCTCGGGAGTGACCCGTGGGCTCGTACCCACCCCTGCGCCCGCCCAGACTTACTTCCTGCTGCTCCGGGCTCTCGGCCACGGCTGCTGACGGGCCCACCTCTGTCTTCGGGGCAGATGCTTCCTGCTCTCCCACAGAGCTGGCCTGGGAAGACAAGGAGGCCATGGTGGGCAGGGCACAACCCCACGGCGCCAAGGGTCCAGCGCAGACTCGCAGCCCTGGACTGTCCACTGGGTCCCTCCTCCCGCCCAGCCACTGTCCCGGCACTCCCTGGAGGAGGAACCAGGTGCACAGGGGGTGTGGAGGCATGGCCACTGGCCACCCCGTCTTCCTGCCCGCCTCCTCCAACAGACAGCACCCTGTTGTCCCTCCCGGGCAAGCTCAGGCACGTCTGGGCAGCCCGGCGCTTCTGAACCAGAAGCCCATTTCAGGTACCGCGAAGGCCAAAGAAACCCTGAAAGCTTGACTGCCACGAAGCCCCACCTCGTTGTCAATGAGCGAAAGCCCGCACTCAGGAGCGGGACATGCCGCCGGCCCCCGGCACCTCGCAGCTGCCTCCCGCACGGCTAGACCCCACCGAAATCAGCGTGCCGTCGAGAAAGACTGGCAACAGTGAGAGAGCTCCGAACAGTCAATGAAGAAAAGTGAATTCAGTGAACCCCATAATGAATCTGAGGTGAGTCATGGGCGGAAGGAGCGCAAACATCTGTGCTCTTGGGGCGAAGGACAAAGTGGGTCCATGCTAGCCAGGAAGCAGCAGCGAACCGGTCACCACACAGACGAGCACCCCGGGGCGGGGTCCGCGCCCCAGAGGCCAGCAGAGGAGAGCAAGGCGGCTGCATCCCGGCAGGGGGAAGGGCCAGAGACCCCCGAGCAGACTTGCTGGCTCGGCTCCACCCAGCGGCCTCCCCGCTCAGCACGAGTGCAGCGGGGGAGCTAAGTGAGCCCGGCACCGCCCAGCACAGCCTCGGCCTGTGGGAACTGGGGCTCGGCCCACGCAGGGGCGCAGCTGCACGGAGGCAGAAGCGGGTGTCTGGTGGTGAGGTGAACCACCGAGGCCGCAGGGAAACCAGTGTCAGCTGTTCAGACCTAAAGGGCCACTGAGCAGGTGTGTGTCCAGACCTGCAGGACGTGGTTGGGACTGTCACAGCGATGACCCCACCACGGTGCCCATGGCCCAGAGGTGCTGTGCTTGCTGCTGTGGCCTGGCACCAAGATGCTACAGGAGCCTGTAACAGGCAGGCGGAGCCGGGACCGGGAAACAAGCCACCTGCCACCCACCGCCCCGCTGTGAGCTGTGGGCACGTGCTGTCCGCCAGCCTCGCCCGGGACTGGCCAGGCCTCCTTCAGCACAAGGTGGGGACACGTGGGGGGAGAGGCAGCTGGGGGTCCGTTGGCACACTCACTTCCCCATTCTCAAAGGCGCATAACGTGCTCCTGAGGTGCAGGACGCCGAAACGCCAATAGGCCCCTCAGGGAAGTCGGCACGCTACGGGAGCCTGGCCCGCACCAAGTGTCGCTGGGGTGTCCTGCCCAGACGCGAGACCTGCTGAGCCTGTCACCCCCGTGGAGGAAGCCTGTCTGGGGGCCTCTCCAAACCACCCGACTCCCGGGGTTGTCCTGGGTCAGTGACCGAGACGAGCTGCCCGAGATCTGGTCACGGGGCTGCTCAGGTCCCCAGGTCCTCGGCACTGACTCATCTGTCACTTACTCTGAATGTCAGATCGTGCGCGAGAGGCGCCGTGTTGAAATACTCAAAAATCGAGTCCTGGAAGTCTGGAAGCTTGAGTCCTGGAAGAAAAAAAGATGCAACCTTTCAAGCCGGCGCACACCCGCCACACTGCCCCCGGCGTCCTCTTGACGCTTGCCCTCCTGCAGTGAACTCAAAGAACCAAGACCATCCCGGGGAGCTCTATGGAGGGGGCTTGGGGACAGAGCGGGGCTTTCTCTGACTTCCTCTCTGCTCGGACGCTGGGCTCCAGGGCTGCAGTCCAGCAGCTAAGTGGCCCCAGGACCACTTAGCACCAGCAAGTGAGCTGGTAAAGACAGGAGAGCGGGGAGGGCGCCAAGCGACCATGTGCCCCCAGCACCACTCCTGGCATCACACACGGCACAGCTCTGGAGGCCCCGGCACCACCGTGATGGCCCGTATCCCCCCAGCACCGCAGCCTCGGACCTTACACTCAACTAGTAGCTGGTCCGAGTGTCCGTGCCCCTCCTGGCCCAGACACCACCGTAGGGAAAGCAAGGTGAACCGTCCGACAACTGGGGACTGTGCAAACCCGAAAGGCTGACGACCTCAACAGACGCCAATGAGAGCCAATGAGCGCGCCGAGCGGAACCCCGCAAGGACACAAGAGAGGACAGACGCGCCACTATGAACACAGGCGTCAGACGGCAAGAGCAGTCTCTGTGCTTTGGGCCACACTGGCGGTACTCAGGGGACCAATGTGCTGACATGGACACAAAAAATAATCTCACTTCGTAAACAGAAAAGATGAGCGGTAGTACAGGGGCTGCAGCTACAGTTCAGAGGACAGGGAACTAGTGGCTTGCAGAGCCGAGCTGGGCTCGATCCCTGCACTCCGTAGGGTCCCCCCAAACCCTCCGGGAATGATCCCTGAGCACAGAGCCACAAGTCAGCTCTGAATACTGCGAAGCGGGCCTGGAACAAGAAGGAGAGGAGGGTGTGGGCTGGAAAGGGGGAGGGCCCCAGAGGCTGTGGGAAAGGAGACCGACACCTCCGGGACGGAAGAGGTGGGCTAAGGACACAGCCCTGACATGAAATCCTGTACACCACAGGGCCGAGGGCAGGTCTGGGAGCAAACGACGGCAGTACAGCCGCAGAAGAAAGGGAGTCGGGAGACACGAGCGTGCTCCCCCTTGCCATGTGATTGCAAACCGGGTGATGCTCGCGCCCTCGGTCCTCACATTGGGAGACGCTCCCTCACTGTCCTTACCCAGGGAAATGCGCCCCCCCCCATTCCAAGCATGAAGATGAACGCGACATCTACAGTGTGACTCTCCCCCCAAGTAGGCAGTCTCCCAGGTTGAAAATGGGCTTTGGGCCAGGCTAGGGGGGCCGAGATCTTTTCTTTTTTGCTTTTTGGGTCACACCTGGCAATGCACAGGGATTACTCCTGGCCTCTGCGCTCAGGAATTACCCCTGGCGGGCTCAGGGGACCATATGGGATGCTGGGAATCGAACCCGGGTCGGCCACGTGCAAGGCAAATGCCCTACCCGCTGTGCTATTGCTCCAGCCCCAGGCCGAGATCTTTTGATCTTCTCCGGCCCGACACTGTGTGGGGCTCAGGGGACAGGTGGCAGGGCTCTCCAGGAGGCCGACGGCAAGGAGGAGGGCAGATACTTTTGGAGCCGGTGCACACTGGCCCCAGTCTGCATCCCACACTCCCCCACCCCTGCACCGCAGTGCCCCGCACAGTGGGTTGAGGGGAGATGGGCCCCCATGCCATAAAACAGAACCCACAAAGGCTTCCGGTGAGTCCCAAGCCATGGCTGCCTTTTGGAGTGTGCTTTGAAACCATGGGATTTCTGCTTACAATTTTAAATGAGTGAATATAAAAGTAAACAAAAGATTTCACTAAAATGACTTTTAAATCATTCCAAACCTTGTAGCTTTACCTGTATCCGCTCGGATTTTGCCTTCCATCTTTTTCTTCAGTATTTCCATTTCCTCTAACAGTTCTCTGTTCCGCGCTTCCGAGTCCTTCAGTTTACTGCGACAGACAACGCAACGCTAAGCGGCGCCCGAGGGGGCGAGCGCCAGGGCCCTGCCCGCCCCGCCGGCGCCCGAGGCAGCACCTTTCGAAGGCGAGGTTGGCGTCCTTGACCTGGCGCAGCTCCTCCTGCACCAGCTGCTTGGCACGGATCTCCGCCTCCAGCGCCGACTGCAGCTCGAGACGCGCCGACATGTCCAGCTTCTGACTGCGGCGAACTTTCCAAAGGGGGTCCTGTTAAACGCGGTTTCAAACAGGGACACAGACATCAAGTAAACAGGTTCAACGAAAATTACCCAAAGAATCAAGGTACTTAGTTAACATAATGAAGGGTAGCAGGAGCTGCCAAGTTTTCTAATCTTCGACTTCTATCATCACATTTAAATGGTCCCCTTCAGATATAATCAAAGTACACGGATTCAGTTTTAGATATTTAAGGCCTTCGCTCCTCTTGAGAGAGCAGCTGAAGAATAACGCATTTCCGTCCGGACTGCGCACAAGGTTACTGTCGCCAGACCACCCCGGGGGGAAAGGGTGCTGTCCATCTGCCTGCTTCCCCTATGCGGCTCGGTGGCTGCCATCTTCCAGACGCCACTGGACAGTCAGGTTTGGACCCACAGTGATGAGACACGCAAGGCTTCACAGGATGGGGGTGGAGCCAGCCCTTTTCTCCCTGCCCCAACGAGACCCCGAGTCGCCACCCACGAACGGCCTCTCTGGCTCCTGATCAAACTGCTTAACGGCCATGATCCCAGAGACTCAGGAATGAATCTCGGAGCCCAGCAGGTTTTGGCAGAAACCCTCCAGATTTAAGTGTTAAAATTTCAGAATTTCAAAATCGCGCGGCCACTACTGCAGCCATGAACATCACATGCTATTCATAACCAGCATAAGAAAACAAATTATTGGGGGCTGGAGCAATAGCACAGCAGGAAGGGCGTTTTGCTTTGCATGTAACGGACCTGGGTTCGATTCCCAGCATCCCATATGGTCCCCTGAGCATCACCAGGAGTAATTCCTGAGTGCAAAGCCAGGAGTAACCCTTGAGCATTGCCTGGTGTGACCCAAAAAGCAAAAAAAAAAAAAAAAAAAAACCCATTGTCTACTGTTGTATTTTCAGCAAATCTGAGTGCTGAGTGTTGGGATAAAATCCCAAATAATAATGGTGGGTCACTGTCCTCCCATTGTTCATCAATTTGCTTGAGTGGGCCCAGTAACGTTTCCATTGTGAGACTTGTTACTGTGTTTGGCACGAATACGTCACGGGGAGCTTGTCAGGCTTTGCCGTGGGGGCGAGATACTCTCGGTAGCTTGCTGGGCTCTCTGAGAGGGGCAGAGGAATCAAACTTGGGTTGGCCATGTTGGCTGTGTGCAAGGCAGATGCCCTACCCACTGTGCTATCGGTCCAGCCCCCCAATGGTGGGTCTGGTGTCAAAATATTGAATATAATCAAAGGAGAGAGAAAGTAATGTGGAAATCATCTGCTCCACAGGTAGAGGGAGGGTGTAGGATGTGGGTATACTGGGTTTTTTGGTGGTGGAGAATGGGCACTGGTGAAGGTACGGGTGTTTCATCGTATGACTGAGACCCGAAAGCTTTGTAAATGCTCCCATGGTGATTCAATAAATAAAATTATATTAAAAAAATGAATAACGCATTTCAGGCACGGGTGACAGTCCTGGAGGATGTCAGCCTTGCGCACGGCTGACCCGTGTTTGATCCCCAGCATCCCTTAGAGACAGTCCCCTGAGCCTGCAGAAGTGATCTCTGAGCACAGAGCCGGGACTAGCCCTGAGGACAGGTAGGTACGGCCCAAAACAAAACAAAATGTCCGGTGGGAGCCTGAGTAAGGTGTGAGTCACTTACTACTCCTGTTGGAAACACACCAGCTCTTCGCAGGACTAGCCATGACTGACCACCACACGGGTGGCAACAGACGACGGATGAGGACAGAACGCCCAGGAAGGCGGGCAATGGGGAAATGACACGCCGGAGCATGGCACGGGGCCACTGGGCTTCCAGAGCCGTGTCACAGCCACCTGCTGCCCAGCACTGTCTCTGGTTTGCTTTTGGCCACCACTGTGGGTGCTCGGGGCTGCTCCCAGCAGAGCATGACACCTCCTGGTCCCCAGGCACCGCTGGAGGTGAGCCCTGAGCACAGAGCGGAGAGCAGCGCCCAAACCCCGCTGCGTTTCCTGCCGCGAGAGCAGGAGTGTCTCTGGAGCCCAGTGTGGGCGCAGCGTGGCCAAGGCCAGACCCTGACACACCCCTGACTGGGCGGCCTCACTCTGCTCCCCGGCACTCAGTCCATCGAATAACAAGTCAAAAATATATATATATATACACAATATACACACATATAAAATCAAAATCAAACAAGTCAGCAAAAAATGGGGCCGCTAAAACATGAGTCAAGCATGTCTCCTCTCTGCGCTCCCCGCAAGCTGGCCAGGCCACCATTTCTCCCGATACTGCCCGCGGACCTACCAGTGTCCTCGAGCCCAGGCTGGAACTCCGCAGCGTCTCCAGCTCCTCCGTCATCTTGGAGGCGAGCGCCTGAAGGTAGCCGCGGGCGTCTTTCTCGTCACTGACCCTGGGAGGGCAGAGGTCGCTCAGCCCTGACTCCCCCCCCCCATCCGTTTCCGCATCCCCAGGACCAGGTCCGCTGGACAGCCGTGCAGGAGCCCGAGGCGAGCCTGGGGGCGGGGCCGGGCTGCTCCGCGCTTACCACTGGATGATCTCGGCGATCTGGGCCTCCCAGTGGGCCACCGACTCCTTCTTGGCCGCCAGGTCCTGCAGCTCGTCCTCCAGATGTCTGTTCTGCGCCGTGAGTTTGTCCACAAAGGAGCAAAGCTAGAATCGAACATTTGCCATGTGGCCAGTTACTCAGGCCCCTCGGACACGGCCTCAGTGCTACCGAAACCAGCCCTTCCTGGCGAGTTGGGAACAACCATCGTGGATTTCCAAAGACGTTTTAGTCATATCAAAACATCCCATTAACACACTTGAAACTGAAAAGGATTTAAAATCCAACGAGGCACACGTTGGGGGAGACGGTGTCGGACACTGCAGTGCTCGGCGCTAATAGAGCCGCAAGTGGGAGTCCTCAGTAACTCAGGACTGAGGGGCCAGGGGCACAGGACAGCAGTAGGACGTTTGCCTAGCAAGCAGCTGACCCGGCTTGGATTCGCAGCACCCGCGTAGTTCCCAGCTCCACCAGGAGAGATCCCTGAGCACAGAGCCAGGAAGAAATCCTAAGCTCCGCCAGGCGTCGCCCAATGCCAACCAAAAACAATGGACTAAAATTAAGTTATCTGACGAGGCTAGAGCAAGAGTATAGCCGGAGGGGCGTGTACCTCGCAGGAGGCTGACGCAGGTCTGACCCCCGGCAGCCCGTACAGTGCCCTGAGCGCTGCCAGGCGTGATCCCTGAGCGCAGCGCAGGATAAGCGCTGAGCACCGCCGGCTGCGGCGCAAGCTTGTGGCCAAGCTGAGCAAGTCCACGCCCCGGCACTGCAACCCCCCGCCCGCCCCCACTCTACTAGGTGGACCCCCACCCCCGCAGGGAGCCCCCCCTCCCGCCCGCTCACCCTCTCGTTCTCCACGGCCAGCTTCTTGCTCTCCTCACACAGCAGGGCGCGCTCCCGCTCGTACTTCTCCTTGGCTGTCCCCACGGCCTCCTCCACTTCGCTGTGGCTGCGAGGGGAACGGGCAGATGCTGGGGGACCCGAGGCGGCCGGAGCCTCCCCTCCCCCCGCCCGCGCCCGCCGCCGGAGCCCCCACGCACCGCTCGCGCTTGGCCTTGTCCAGCTTGTCTCTGAGCACCAGGACCTCCTTCTGCAGGGCCAGCTGCTGGCTCTCCGAGTCGTGCACCTCCTTCTTCACGTTCTTCACCTCCAGCACGTGGGACGCCTCGCGCCTCACCAGCTCCTCCTCGTAGAACAAGACTTTCTTCTCCAGCTCGGAGCGGATCTTGGACAGCTCCTGCTGGTGCTCCAGCGCAGCGCCCGGGCCCCGGGCTCCCTGCTTCACCTGAAGACCGAGGTACGAGGGGACAGGCCACGGGGTCCTGAGTGACCCCCACGCGGGCACTGGAGACGCTACCTCCTCCCCCCTCCGCTCCCCCCACCACGACAGACGCCATCCGCAGACACAGGGCTGGGGACAGGGGTGCCGGTGCTGTCTAAGGAGTTCAAGCGAGACTCTCGGTGGCACTGCCCGGCAGAAGGGAGGTAGGCGGAGCTGTCTGCACTCCAGAGGGGCAGTGTCACTTGGGGTCACACTGACCCCAGCCGGGCCGGCTGAGTGCCAGGTGAGCGGGTTCCAGGCAGGCCCGTGTCCTGGCGGGACGACAGCCAGCCAACAGCAACAAACCAGCAGCCCCAGGTCGGTGCTGAGGGGCAAGGGTGGCAAGACGGGGCTGCGGGGATGCCACAGGAGTGCAGCCTCAGGGGGAGGCAAGAGGGAGGAGGGGGCAATGGACTCTGCAACGTCACGGAGAGCTCGAGGGCGCGAGGGGCACGCCAACGGGGGACCAGGGAGGCTGGGCCTGCGGCGGAAACCAGGCCGCTGGCACTGTGTGGGGCTGACTGGGCGGCCGACAGCGCGATGGAGAAGCTGCCGGCAGGGGCACAGGGCAGATGATGGAGGGGAGGGACGCCCTGGGAGCTGGCACCCAGGCCCAAGGCGGACCTCACCCCTGCCCAGCTCCTGGCCACCAGGGCCCCTGATGGCTGCCTGTCCCCACCGCCTCCAGCAGCAGGGCCAGGGCCTGGACAGGACCACCACAGAACTCTGGGAGCCGGGACCCCAGCGGGGGGAGGGATGGGCCCTTCGTGGGAGGGTGGGCAGGGAACTGGGCACTTCAGGGTGACACGCTCCGGGACAGGCAGGCCCGTGAGCCACCCCCGCTGGAGCTGCCAGGAGGCGTCACAACGGACAAGCGCCGTGTCCAGGACACTGTCCAGCACGCCAACTAGCCTGGACCAACTCGGTCTCCCGCCGCAAGAACACACCCGAGCCAGGCACTACCTTGAGGGCCTCAAGCTCACTTTCTATTTGCTTGGAGAAGTTCTCGCTGTGCTCACGAAGCTTGCGCTCCTTGGAGGCCTCGGCCCTGGCGTCCTCAAGCTGTGCTTCCAGCTGCAAGGACAACACGTGTTGCCACACAGAACACACACACACACACACACACACACACACACACACACACACACACGATGCGCTATCACACAGAACCACACTGTTACACGGCACATTCTACCACCCCAGAACACCGCCGTCTACACAGCCGGCCGGCCCTGCCCGGAGAGCACCCCGCCTTCAGTGGCCCTTTGACCTAAAAGGAAAGCTAAGCAAATCGTTTGCAAGTCTGTAATTCTCCTTTCCCCTTTGTTGGGGTCACACCTGGAGATGCTCAGGGGTTGCTCCCGGCTCTGGCGGTACTTGAGGCACCATGTGGGCCGCCATATGCAAACGTCCTGCCCGCGGTACTATCGCTCTGGCTCTTCGTCTGTGATTCTCACTCTTCATCAGGTTTGAGAACAAGTCACAGGCTAAGAAACACTTTTTTGCTGTTCTGTTTTGGGGCACACCCAGCCGTGCTCAGGGATCTGTCAGGGCTCGCGGGCTCATGTGGGGTGCCGGAGAGGGGCTCCGAGTTGGCTACGCGCAAGGCCAGCACCTTCCTACTATACTATCGCTCCGGCCCGAGAAACCCATTTTAGGGTTTCACTGAAATGTTGGTGGTAATAATACAAGCTTAAATTCTAAGTTCAATTCCCAATTCGGGATTAAGTTTCAAGGAGGGACAGAAATTTGTGAAAATGGGTTTATTTAAGGAACATGGAAGCAGCAGGTCCCTAAGAAACTGTGCCCTCGTCACAGGCCTAGGCCGGGCCGTCATCGACAGCCTCTCCTGGGGAGCTTTAACGCACATCCCGACACGGAATCCTCAGATCTGGAAGCAGAAGAAGAGTGCCAGGTTAGAGGTTTGCTAATCTGAACTATGCCGAATTCCGACAACAAATGCATCTGGGTTTCGAAATGACTAAGTTTCTCGGGTGGTCCTTCTCAAAGTGCCTATGACCCGACATGCGAGGCCCTGGGCCCTCCTCCGTCCTCCTCCCCTCCCTGACAAAGCTGCTGTGTTGCTCTGTGGCGCCAGGGAGGAAACCCAGGTTCCAGGCGCTCGGGGGTGCTGCTCCGTGAGCCGTACGCCAGCAGGAAGGCTGTCTTGCATGTGGCCAACCCGGCACCTCTTCTGGCCCGAGCCCCACCAGGAGTAAGCCCTGAGCCAGAGCACCGTCCTGTAGAGCAGTGCAGAAACGGGCAGGAGCCGAGGTGCTTCCCAGAACGCTGGTTTTTAAAAAGCACCAAAATAAGGGCCAGAGTGATAGCATAGCAGGTAGGGTGTTTGCCTTGCATGCGGCCGACCCAGGTTTGACCCCTGGCATCCCATATGGTCCCCTGTGCACCACCAGGAGTGATTCCTGAGTGCAGAGCCAGGAGTAACCCCTCAGCATCACTGGGTGTGACCCAAAAGACCAAAACAAATAAATGATTAAAAAAAAACCAAAAGTGCCAAAATACGAGAAAATACTAGTCTTCTCACTAATTAAATCTTTGGAAAATAGCCACTTCCCATCTGAAAATACGACTTTAACATGTGAATCATTGTGCTGGGGGGGCGGTGGGGGATCCGTTTTCCTCTCTACTGGATAAACAGTAAATATACACAAACAAAAGCTCTTTGAGGGCATCAGTGACTCGAAATGTGAGTCTGAGCCCACACTTCGGAAGTGTTGGTCTGAGGCAAATGAATGAGGCTTGAGTCTGTCGGGGCGCATCCCCTGGTTTGTCCTCTCCGTCTGTCCACACACTCTGGGCACCATCCATGGTGCACTTCTATCTCGCCTCTATCTGCCTCTAGACTTTATACAATTATCGCTACAGGAAACTCGACCAATTCACGGTGAGGCGTGGAGAGCCAAGAGCTACGAATCCGTGTGTGGCGACTGACTGGGCTTCTCCTGAAATTTAAAATGTATTTTATAGTAATTTTAATGGCCGTCACGTTTGCAGAAATGTTTCTTCTTTCTTTGGTTTTGGTTTTTGGGTCACATCCGGCAGTGTTCAGGGCTTACTCCTGGCTCTGATCTCAGGGGTCATTCCTGGAGGGGACTAGGGAACCATATGGGGTACGAGGAGTGTAGATAGCTCAGCAACATGTAAGGGAAGTGCCCGGTCCACTGGTCTATCTCTCTGGCTTCACAACCATTTCCTCGGGGCTGGATCAATAGCATAGCAGGCAGGGTGTTTGCCTTGCACGCGGCCAACCCGGGTTCAATTCCCAGCATCCCATATGGTTCCCCAAGCACTGCCAGGAGTAATTTCTGGGTGCAGAGCCAGGAGTCACTCCTGTGCATCGCTGGGTGTGACCCACAAAAAGGCCCTCCCGTTGATTTGCTCGAGCGGGCCCAGTAACGTCTTCATTGGCGACTTTGTTGTTACTGTGTCTGGCATATCGAATACTCTCGGTAGCTTGCCGGGCTCTCCGAGAGGGGCGGAGGAATCGAACGCGGGTCGGCCATGTTGGCCGCTTGTAAGGCGAACGCCCTACCGCTGTGCTATCGCTCCAGCCCACAAAAAAAAAACAAAAAAACACCAAAAACGTTTTCTGAAGATTGTGCAGAAGTGAAACAAACACGCCCCCGACAGTGCAGAAAGCTACCTCTTTCCTGCCCTTGTCAGCTCTGCGCATCTCCTGCCGCATGGTGTCGACCTTCTGCATGACCACCTCCATCTCCTCCTCTTTGTCCCGGAGCTGCCGGGACGCCTTCTGCTTCTGGGCTCGGAGCTCGGCCGTGCGCTCGCTCAGCTCCGCCAGCTCCTGCAGGGCCAGTTTCCGCTGCTGCTGGGCGTCTCGGAGCTCCCTGCCCTGAGATTTCAATCGCTCAGAAGCTTCGACCAGTTGCTAGGAAACAAGAATCAGAGTTTTCTGTACTTGCTTTTGTTGTATTTTTCCTCTGGGGGCCACCTCTGGCAGTGCTCAGGCTGACTCCTGGCTCTGTGCTCAAGGATCATTCCTGGAGGGGCTCAGGTACCATCCGAGCTGCTGGGATCAAGCCTGGGTTGGCTGTGAACAAGGCCAGCGCCTTAACCCCTTATTATCTCCCCAGCTAAACGACAGGCTTTATGCAGGCCTGACCAACATCTGGAGGCCGGAAACTCAGTGCATCACGTATTTGGCCGGGATGGAACTGCCAACGCTCTGACACACGTGCAGACCCAGGCTCCTCTGCCCACAGGGTGGCTGCTCTGGGGGTGCTCAGGGCCGTCAGTGCCAGGAAGGAGAGTGCACGGAGATTTCCGAGAAGAAAGCGGCACCTAGAAGCCATGCCGGGACCACTCGTGGAGGTGGAGGCCGGGCCGCTGGCGGCCCCTCGGCTATACTGAGGGCCTCGGCGCAGCCCTCCCGCTGCCTACGCGGGACCACAGCAGGTCCCTCAGCTCACCCAAGGCGAGGCGTGCAAGTGCAAGGGAGCGACCGGGAGGATCGACTTCATGAGAATGGCAATGCTCCCCAGAGCACTAGCTTCAACGCACTGCCTGTAAGGGTACTTAAGGACACTCATGGCATTTTTCAAAGAAACAGACCCAACACTCCTGAAATTCACACGGAACAAAAAACACCTTCGCCACCCCCACCCCCTAAACAGCTAAAACAATCCGTGGGAAAAAGAAGACGAGAGATATCACTTTCCTCAACGTCAAACTGTACTACAGCACAGTAACTAAACGGCACGGTACTGGAATCAACACAGACCTTCAGATCAACGGAGTAGACTCACATAGCCTGAGACAGGCCCTCAAGGACCAAACATATGACGTGGAGCAAGGAAAGCCCCTTCGACAAGTGGTGCTGGAAAAACTGGGCAGCTAAACGCAGAAAAATGAACTCAGACCTCTACCATGCACAAAAGTCAAATCAGAATGGATTAAAGACCCTGATATCAGACCTGAATCCATAAGGTACATGGAGGGAACGTAGGCAGAACTCTCCACGATACATCAAGGATGAATCACCACTGACCAAGCAAGAGGCAGCCAAGATAAACGGAACTGCATCAAACTAAGAAGCTTCTGCACCTCAAAGGAAATGATGACCAGGACACAAAAACAGCCCACGGGATGGGAAAAATCATTTACCCAATACCCATCTGATAAGGGGTTAATATCCAAATTACAGAAGGCACTGGCAGAACTTTCCAAGAGAAAACATCCAATCCCAAAAAGAAATGGGAGAAGAGATGAACAGAAGCTTCCCCAAAGATATACAAATGGCCAAAAGGCACACGAAAAAATGCTCTACACAGCTAATCACCAGGGAGATGGAAATCAAAAGAACAATGAGATATCATCTCACACCACAGACTGGCACGCATCAAAAAGAACCACCGGAGACCAGAGAGAGTACAGCAGACAGGGCGGCGGCCTTGCACACAGCTGTCCCGGGTTCGATCCCCGGCATCCCATACGGTCACCTAAGCACCTCCAGGAGTAGTTCCTGAGTGCTGAGCCAGGAGTAACTTGAGTATCCCTGGGTGTGGCCCCCAAACAAAAACAAAGACAAATGAACAAACAAAAAGAACAACCGGTGCTGACCAGGATGCGGGGAGAAAGGGACTCTAACTCACTTCTGGTGGGATTGTGACTGGGCCAGCCTTTCAGGAAAACAACGTAGGCATTTCTCAAGAAACTAGAAATTGAGCCTCCATATGACCCAGCAATACCGCTTCTGGGAGTATATCCTGGGGGCACAAAAACAGTGCAGAAAAGCATCTGCACGCCTATCTCACTGTCCACTAGCACCAACAGCCGGAGTCCGAAAACAACTCAGGTGCCTGAGGACGGATGAGTGGATAAAAAAACTACAGCCAATCGACATGGTGAAACACTACACAGCTGTTGGGGAAAATGGTAAAGGTAAAGGTAAAGGCCCTCCCGTTGATCGTCGATTTGCTCGAGCGGGCCCAGTAACGTCTCCATTGGAGACTTTGTTGTTACTGTGTCTGGCATATCGAATACTCTCGGTAGCTTGCCGGGCTCTCCGAGAGGGGCGGAGGAATCGAACTCGGGTCGGCCATGTTGGCCGCTTGTAAGGCGAACGCCCTACCCGCTGTGCTATCGCTCCAGCGAAAATGAAGTCATGAAATTTGCTGATACCTGGGTAAACGTGGAGAGTATCACGCTACGTGAAATGAGTCAGAGGGAGAGGGACAAACACAGAGTGATCACCTTTGCAGGATACAAAAAACGGTATGAGAATAATAGCCAACGACAATAAAAACACGGTCAGGAGGCCTGGTCCACGGGAGGAAGCTTGTCACAGGGGAGGGAGTGTAGTTGGGACAGATTAGGGAGCACGACAGTGATAGTTGGAAACCGTCACTGGGTAAGAACCGAGTGCTAAGAGGAGGAAAGGCGACACACATGACGACCTCTCAGTGACAGTACTGCAAACTACAGCGCCTAACGGAGAAAAGAAAAGGAAACCAGTGGCGAGAGGAGACAGAAAAAAGTGTCTCCCAAAGAGGAAGGCTGGGGATAGCAGGAGAGAAACCAGGGACACTGGTGGCAGGAAATGTCCACCGGTAAAGGAAGGAGTGTTGGAACACTGTATGACTGAAACCCAATCGTGAACAACTCTGTACTGTATATCACAGGGTGACTTAAAAAAAAAAAAAGGTGTGAAATTTGCAGGTTTAGAAAAGAAGGCACTGGCAACCGAGTTCAGTAACGGGGAGACCTAAGAGCTGAGGGTCAGCTCCTGTGGCCTCCTGTCCATTCACATGAGGCAGTTACTCAGGGCTCCCCCGGAACCAGCAAACACACAGTGTCTCCAACTGCACCCGAGGTTACTACAGCACCCCCAAATAGTCTGGGACCCCCATACACAGGGTAACACCTTTCACTTAGGGAAACACTTGCATAGGGAAACACCTTAGAAAACACAAACCAAACTGTGCTGACGCCTGTTCAGAGTTGGGCACACTGGGGGCGCGTGTGCCGACCTCAGAGCCGGGCACGCCAGGGGTGACTGCACTGGCACCTTAACTCAGAGCTGGGCAGACTTGCTGACAATCAAAGCTCCCAAGAGGCCAGCGGGTGCACCCATCTCCCAGTCTCGCTGCTACGGCCTCTGGAGCCCAGCGCCTCTGGAAGGAGGGGGAGGCTGCGAGGGGCCGGGCGAGCAGCCAGCCGGGATGGGGCACCGGGCATGGGACACGTGCGCACACTGGCCAGCCAGGCGGCTGCCGCGCCACCGGGAAGGCCCGTTCCACAAGGAACGAGCACTCCTGCTGTCCCGGGTGCTGGACACTGAGGATGCAGCCCGCATGCCAAGCGCAGGCAGAGCCGGGAGGGCCCCACGGTCCCCTGCGGTCCCCGCTCACCTTGTGCAGCTCCTCCTTCTCCTGGCGCGCCACGCGGTACTGCTTCTCCAGCCCCCGCAGCCGCTGCGTGGAGTCCTCATGCTCCTGGCGCAGAGCCACGGTGTCCTCGAGCTGACGCTCCAGCCTGCCTGAGTCTGAGCAGAAGGAAACACATCCGGGGCCCTGAGAGCAGAATCTGTGACCCGCTTCGCAGCAAGGATTTAGAACTCTGAACTTCGAGTGTCACCGTGCCGAACGGCCTTTCTCATCAAGGGTGACACTGACAATGGCACAGCCTGAGTCAGCCTACAGAACTGAGTTTGTCAACAAAGCAGGGCCAAGGGTGGGGCTGTGGACGCTGCAGACATTAGTGGGAGGAGGCCAACGGTGGCGGACAGGGTGCTGGAACTCTGCATACCTAAAACTTTACTGTTCACAGTATAATCCATCACGTCTAAACAAAACTTGAAAATCTGAAAAGGACCCCCCCCCCAAAAAAAAAGAAAAGAACTGCCTTCGACAGTGTGTGTGTGCTTGTTCTGGAAGAGCCACTGTCCCCTGTGCGCGGTCCACCACCGCTGGGTGACCTCAGGGCATCGGCCGGTGCGTCCTGATGTGCCATGTGCCACATGGAGCCAGAGCGCGAGTCTGCCCAAGCACCGTCACTCTGCAGTCGGGGGCAGTGCCGCTGCCAGGGCTGCCCGGGGCCACGCGCTCCTCACTCACTGTGATGGGGCTGAGCGCTGCGCGCACGTGGGGCTCCGACGGAAGGACAAACCGCTGCACGGGGGCCGCCACGCGCTCCCAGGAAGGAGGCGGGTCTGAGTCGGGGCTGCAGAGGGATCGAAACGGCAGCATGCAGTTCCAGGCGGAACGCACCACCCGACAGGACACCCTCGCTCAGGCCCCTGCACAAGTCTCTCGCAGCAAGACAGAAGCTCCCAGCAGCGACGAGCTCGGCCCAGCAGGGCTAAGGCCTCCGCTGTGGTCAGTCCGGCCGTTTCCTCCTCCCCAGTGGCCTCACAGAAGAGCCCGGCGGGGCCCCTGCCAGCCTGAGGCCGCTGACTGTGGCACCAGGAAACAGCAGCTGCTAGTGAGCTCAGCGCCCGGACCCCACCCTGGCGCACAGGGCTCCTTCTTGCCAAGTGTCTCATGGTGAGCTGCACAGGCGTTTCCCCACGCCCTGACCCGACACCACTCCGCAGGCTCACTGATGCTCTACCCGCCCGTCCACCTTATGGAACGGACTTCAAAAATCCCTTTCCAGGGGCTGGAGAGATAGCACAGCGGGTAGGGCGTTTGCCTTGCACGCGGCCAACCCGGGTTCGATTCCCAGCATCCCATGTGGTCCCCTGAGCACCGCCAGGAGTAACCCCTGTGCATCACCAGGTATGACCCAAAAAGTAAAAAAAAAAAAAAAAAGAAAAGAAATTTCTTCTCAAAGGACTCACGCCCACCCCGAGAGGGGACATCAGGCAGGGTGCTGGCCTTGCACAGAGCCAACCTGGGTCTGACCCTGGCACCACAGTCGGCCCACTGAGCCCGCCAGGAGTGATTCCTGAGCACGGGGCCAGGAGTCAGCCCCGAGCACTGCAGGGCATGGCCCCCACGCACACAGAAAGAGGAAAAGAGTCAAGCCTGAGAAGCCGGTCCTGAGCAGCGAGGCCGCGGACCCTGACCTGCGAGCTTGTTCTTCAGATGCTCGACCTCCTCCTTCAGCCTCTTGATCTCCTTGTCTCGGAAGGAGGTGCCCAGGGTCCTGGTGGCGCCGTGGAGGGACTGCACCGTCTGCGTGGACTCCTGCAGCTTCCGGCCCAGCTCCAGCTTCTCCTGCTCCAGCCTGCGGATCCTGCGCTCGTACGCCTCCACCTGCAGGCTGTTCTCCAGGTCCCGCTGCACGCCCTCGTCCTTGCTCAGCGCGCCGCTCTGCGTGACGCTCTTCAGGGAGCCCCGGTCGGAGAAGCAGCTGCAAGGCAAGCCCCACGGTCGGACTCGCCGGGAAGGCGTGGCGGGCGCTCCCGGCTCGACCCCCGCAAGCCCCCGGCCAGACTGCAGGCCCCCGAGGTGGCCTCTGCCCAACACAGACCTTTCTGGGGAGACCTCAGCCTCGTTCGGAAAAACAGAAGCCCTTGGTGTGCCGCTTGGGAAGTGAAGACTGAGCGGACGGCTCAAGGAGATGGGTCGGCGAGAGACGCCGTTTCAGAACCGGGAAAAGAAACTTCCCGTGGGAGACACGAGGGGCTGTGCGCGCTGCCTTCGGGGGTCAGCACTGTCACAACTGCATGCCAGCTGGTGGAGATGCGGGAGCACAGCCCAGCCCAGAAGACAACGGGGCCGCACAGGGCCAGGCCCGGCACACCCTAGCAGGCAGGCCTGGGGGCCGCGTGCTGGACGAGAGCCTGGTGAGCGGGAGCATCAGAAAGCTCGCGCCAGGTGGCACAGGCGCTGCGGCCCTGGGCACTGCGGCATCAGAGGCTCAGGCACAAGTGCCCTCACCGCCTCTCAATTCAGATGCTCTGAACGAGACCCGGGTCCCGAACAAGGCACTGAGGCGACAGCGTCACTCAGTTGCTTCCCTTCCTAGTCCCGGCCTCTCCCGGCTTCCTTTTCCGAGAAAAGCTGAGCTCTCCCCAGCAAGGTCTGTGGAGGGCAGAGGCCACCTTGGGGGCTGCACTCCAACCAGGGGTTCGGCCCCAGCTCTCCGGATTAAGCACTGCACCGGGGCCGCCGAGGCGACCTTCCAGAGGCAGGAGCGTGCTCTGGCCAGAGGCGCACCGTGGAGCCAGCGTGGCTGGCCGCAGTGCGGAGCGTCAGGCCAGCGAGCCCCCGTGTCCTGGCACTGGCTGGGTCATCCCCAGTTAGGGAGGGAGGAGGAGCTGCACCAAGGCTGCGTGGCCTCCGGGCCTTTCTGGAACTGCCGCCCCCTCTGTGCAGGCCACCCTGGCCTGACGCAGTTCTCAGAAGGCAGCAGACTGTCGTGAGCACCAAGCGCAGACGTACCTCTCGGTCGTGAACGTGAACCCAATGAACGGCAGGTGCAATCCAGAGAAGCCAGTGTGGGAGCCGGGAGGCAGGATCTCCTGCACAAGGACACGTCGCGCATGAGACACAGCACACGGGAGAGGGGGCAGGCGCGGGAGCCGGGCTCCAAGGCCGGCCGCACAGTGGGGTGCCGAGCACGGCGCTCCTGCAGGGACGCGCAGGCCACCCTGCAGCTGACGGTAACATTCCAGTTTCTTGAGTCACAAGAGCCCCCTCAAGGGCTGTAAAAGCAAGTCAGGGAAAAAACCCTCGAGATCAGAAAGGGAGTCGGAAGCACAGGAGAGACCCAGGGAAGTGTCTGTTCCCGGCAGAAACAAAGGTGTGACTCTCGTGGGCCTGAGACCTCAGGGCACGCTCACACGGAATGCGGGGCGAGCGGGGTGGCCACACCTCTGGGCGGAACGTCGAGCCTGACATGCTTCCATGCAGGGACGAGAACTCGGGTTCTCTCTAAGGTATTCCTTTCACCTCCTTAAACCTCAACGCCCTCACATGTACAGCCAGCTGCATGCAGGCACCAGAATAACTAGACCATGATTGGGTTTGATGAGCCCCGAATAAGCTCGCGATGAGCCAGCTCCGGGAAGGGGCGTCCCGTGTGTGGAGGCCCGGTGGACGCAGGCCCACGGGCCCCGGCAGCTCCCCTAGCCAGCACCTGCCTTGAACCATACACATCCTCCTCCCAGGGACCCCAAGCCCGTGTAACTCCTGAGAGCGAGCCAGGTGCAGATGCAGACAGTGGGGATGCCGGGCGTGGGGCGGGGGCAGCGCGAGGTCCCAGGCTGGGTTCCTCCCAGGCGCCAAGCGGTGAGAGAAAAGGCCTCAGCCGCTGAGACGCCATGGGAATGGCAGCAGACAAAGGAGCTGTCTCCCCAACAGAGCAGTTCTCACTTTGCAGGGCGTGGGGGGCACACCCGGCAGTGCTCAGGGGTCACACAGGATGCTGAGGATCGAACCCGGTCAGTCACGTGCAAGGCAAGCGCTCTCCCCGCTGTGCTCACTGTAAGGGTGACGTTAAGGGCCCCGTGGCCAGGCTGAAGGCACCCTTCTCCACACACCCGTGTTCAGAGTCAGTCTCCCAACCAAGCAGCCACTCACAGCGTTCCGGAGCATGTCATCGTCCACGTCGAAGTTGGACGTGTCGGAGGGACTGCTCACGTCGGGGATGTAGGGCGCCTCGAGGTTGCGGATGTTGTCCCAGTTCAAGCCCTCGAAGAACGCGTGCTTCTTGAAGTCCTCGATGCCGTTCTGGCCCAGCCGGCGCTCCCTGGCGCAGATGAGCCTCTGAATGAGGTCCTTGGCTTCCTCAGACACGTCCGTGACGTGGGGAGGGAACTGAAACCGCTCCTGGGGTAGGAAACCGGGGCTGAAACCAACGCCGTGAGAACACTCTCGCTCGGAAGACGCAGCTGCCACCGACGTCCCGGCGACTGAACGCGGACCGGCGCGTTCCAGGAAAGCAGGAGAAACGGCCCGTCTGCCCGCTTTATCCCTGCGTGACGTGCGGCCACACTTCGCACAGAGGGAAACGGTGCTCAGCGCCCCTCCCAGCGGCCCCGCGTGGCCCAAACGCAGTAAGCGGGGGACAGACAGGCACAGCTGCCTCCGAGGCCTCCTAGACCTCCCACAGCGCCACCTGCAGAAACGTGCCTGAGGCCTGCCAGCACACCTGACCGAGGAGACGCCAGCCCTACCTGCACTCCCAAGGGGGACTGCTCGCGTGCTCATGCACACGCGTACACACACACACACACACAACACACGCATGCACACGTGCACACACAACCCATGCGCTAAAGAGGCCAAACCCAGTCTGACATGACATCTGGCTACCAGCCGGACAGTGGTCAGTGGCCTTGCAAGCCTGAGGATGTGAGCCAGGCCTCCAGTGCCGAGCGCACCCTGGCCGTGTCACGAGCATCCAGCCACATCTCGGCCGAGGTGTGTAAGCACCACACGCAGGGCAGTCCCCACAGGGACGTGCAGGGAAAGAAGCCATCCTGGGGCCGGGAGCAGGTCTCGCCACCACGCAGGCCGCCCTGTGGCACGGCTCCGGGGGCTGAGGGGCACCTGCAGGCTTCGCAGGAACACGTGTGAGGAGGAATCAGGGTGCTCGGCAGGACTCTCCCGTCTGGAGCGTTCAGTGAGGGTGGTGGGGGAGAGAGAGAAAAAGAGAAAGAGAAAGAGAGAGAGAGAGGTGCCCGGGGCGTCTCTCGCCATCCACACACACGCAGGCCCTTCCCCGACTGAAGTGTTTACAGTGCACACAGATGAATCACGAGTGAAATGCAGTTTCGCTATGTGGAAAGTGCACTCAAAACAGACACTGTGTGGCTGGGGACGGAACACACACCCGGGCGTGCACGCAGTAGAAAGGTCTGCAAAGCCTGGTGTCTGCCTCCCCTCACGGAGCGCTGAGCACAGCAGGGCTGGGGGCCGGGCCCACAGCCCCAGGGATGCCTGCGGTGTATGTGACGGCAGGAAGTGCTCACAAGCAAGCGATGGGCCACAGCAGAAAGAGCCGATGGGACAAGGGAGAGACGGGTGACTGACTCGTAGAAGACATGGAGAGAATGAAGGAGGCAGAGGCAGCAGAGGGAAGGCGGGGTCCAGGCGGGACAGGGAGGGCAGGGAAGGGAGGGGAGTCACCCGCACCTCCACAGGGCACTTCTCCTCCAGGAGACGCCCCCACCAGTGACTCACCCCAAACTGCCCGCTTGGGTGGCCAGATCAGTGGGCCAGCAAGCCGGAAGCGGCCACCAAGCCGCTGCATTCCTGAGTCTTGCCCGTGTCCGACCCCACCCACTGCCCGGCTCGGCCGCCCAGCGCGGGGCTCACCTCGTGGTTCATGATCTTCCCGTAGGTCTCCACCAGGGACTCGGCATAGAAGGGGGTCTCCCCGTAGAGCATCTCGTACACGCACACGCCCAGCGACCACCAGTCACACTCGGGGCCGTACTTGCCCATGCCATCCTCCATCGCCTGCAGGATCTCAGGGGAGATGTAGTCGGGTGTGCCCACGGCCACCGAGGACTGGACCTGAGGGCAGACAGGGACCAGAGCTGACCAGCTGAAAGCATCGAAGACTGTCAGGGAGGCCAGTGCCTCCAGATGCAGACAGCTCCCTGAGGCCCAGACAGACAGGCCCGCGCTGCCCCAGAGGCCTGAACTCCCCACTCTGCTGCTCCCCGCTCAGCCCGGCACGGTCGAAGCCCCCCGAGAAGGGCACGTAACAGAGACGCTAGGGAGCCTGTCTGTGTGTCCCCTGCGTGCCCCCTGAGAGGGGAGCCCGGGGCACAAGGCCACCCGAGTCAGTGTGAATGAAGCAGTGGGCAACGCTGTCTCAGGGGCAGCCGGCCGGGCACGGCAGGGTGAGGACACTGCGGCAATGGTCAGTGGCACCCGACGGGGCGAGGCCACTGTGTGTCCTTCCCGAATAGCAGCAGCGTATGCAGAGCTGCCACCAAAACCGTGGCAGGGAGGAAGGGACCTTGCCCCGGGGCCCACCACAGCCACTGACTCAGACTGGCCGGCTCCGGGCCTGAATTCTACCTCAAACAAAGCGCAACTCAGAACCACGCGGGACCTCGGGCCCAGATACCTACAGTCCCATCGTCATTCATCTTCAGACACGACCCGAAGTCGGCCAGGCGGATGTGCCCGTTCACGTCCAGGAGAACATTGTCGGGCTTGATGTCCCTGTCAGGGAACAGCGGAGATCAGAGCACAGCGCGGCCGGCAGGGGCGGACTGAGAGGCTCCGGGCCAACAGCACCGCCACCTCCCTCCCGCCATGATGCTGACCCAGCACCGCCCCGGGCGACACTGCGACACTGGCCCTGCCCAGCGCGGCTCGTACTGGCCGGGGGTCAGAAAGGGGCCACGCAGGTGCACAGACAAGCTGCGCCCAGAGTGAGGCCGCGGGGAAAGTACAAGGGCACTGGCGCCCAGAGTGAAGCCGGAGAAGGAGCAGGCCAGGGCCGTGCGGGGCATCGGGTGGACGCTGGCCACTCCGGGGCAGACACCCTGAGCCAAGGCTGGAGGAGCAGGGCCACACGGCCAGGGGCTGCAACCCCCAGGCAGCCCGCACTACACCACACAGAAAGGACAGGAAGTGGCAGGGGCTGTGCCGGTGGCAATGACAGTGCCATGAGACCGTCCCGCCTGCCACTCTGGGAGCCTGTCGCCCTAGGCAGGGAGGGGACGCAGGGCCTCGGGGCCAGCCTGCTCCCGGGACAGGGCGTCCCCACAGCCACACTCTGCGGGGTCCACAGAGGAGACAGCCAGCGGTCCCCGGGACAGGGCAGCACCCTCCTGAGCACGGACAGACACAGGCAGGCCCGAAGGTAAGCAGAGGGAGCCGGGAGGCACTGCGCCGACACCTACAGCAACGGCCAGGGCAGGAGACCAAACCCTTCAGAGTCCAGACAATGGCCAACAGGACGAGACGGGGCTAGCGGAGCGCTGGTGCCCAGACCAGTCTGCAGAGGCCATGGGCCGGGCCGGCTCAGAAGGCGAGAGCACATGCAGTGCAAGCAGAGCCCCAGAGTAGATGCCCAGCACTGCCCGAGTGACCCCTGGCACTATGCAGGGGCACCAGCGGCGGCAGCACTCTTACCGGTGCACGTAGTGGAGCTGGTGGATGGAGTCGATGGCCAGCACCATCTCGCCGATGTAGAAGCGGGCCATGTCCTCGGGCAGCCGGTCCTCGAACTTACTGAGCAGCGTCAGCAGGTCCCCGCCCACGTAGTAATCCATGACGAGGTACTGCGTGGGGGCGGGGCAGAGAAGGCCGGTCAGCCCCGACTGCCAGTCTGCGCCCCGGAAGCAGGGGACGCTTCCCCGGCCACGAACACACTTCGGCAGCAAGAGCCCGGAGCTAGTGGCCAGGTGGAAGCAGAAAGAACTCTCCAGATCCTCCTCTCATGGGACCGAAGAGGAGGGGAGCGACTGAGACCACATGGAACGGGTCGGGAGAGCCAGGGCCGGGCCAGGCTGGGCCACGCTTGGCGCGCAGGAGGCCTGTCCCCCAGGCACGCGGGAAATGAGCCCTGACCACGGCCCCCAAAACAAAATGGTCAGCGGAAGTAGGAACATCGGCTGAGCACAGAACACAGGCACCGGAAAGCTGAGCACCAGAGTTCAGAAGGAGGGAGGACCGGGAGGCCCCTGCTGTGCTGACAGGAGCCCGGGGCGGGGTTTGGGGGCCCGGGGGGCAATGCCAGGGCCTGGACAGGAGGGTCTCACCCTCACACACTGACGCGCTTTTTCAGAGAAGACTCGAAGCTGGTGACCGCGGCAGGGCCAGAGAAGAGGCAGGAGCGGCCCCCCGGGGAGCAAGGCCTTCTCACGCAGCTTCCTGCCCCTCGCAAGCTGCCTCTGGGGGCCCCAGACCGCACCCAGCGGGCCCACAGACTGTGAAGACACACCCGGGTGGGTCAGCACGCGGCCCCAGGGAGGGGGCAGCCTCCCTAAGCCCTGGGCCTGACCCAATCTCGACCCACCATGGCTCCTCCTGCGACAGAAACAGTTTCAAGACTCACAAAGGACGCCTCTGCGGAGAAGCCCTCCCTGACTGCCTACCCTCTACCCCAGGGGGTCCACACGGTACACGGAGCAGGCTGGACCGCTGGCTTGTCTCCTACCACCTCAGCTGAGGAAGCCACAGGAGCCCTCTACCTGAGTCTCTCTGTGGAGCCTTGGAGCAGAGAGCACACACACGCACACAGGCACACACTGGCACAGGAGGGCGCACGCACACGCTCAAACACACAGACACACATGGGCACGGGCAGGCGTATGCACACGCTCACACAGAGGACTGCACACGAGACATGCACACACACAGACATACGCAGACACGCACACAGGCACGGGGAGTGTATGCACACGCTCATGGGCATGCACACACGAGACATGCACACAGACATACGCACACGGAGGCACAGGTGGTCGTGCACATGTTCACACACAGCAGACACAGGCATAGGCAGGTGCGTGTGCATGCTCATGCGTGCTCACACACACACGGGCCTGAGGGGGCTCAGGCACACACACACACAGGCATGCACGTAAGAGTCACGCGCGCACACACACACACACACACACACACACACACACACACACACACACACGCTGACCATAAGCTCTAAGGGTGCAACCATGAAGCACCTGGTCAGCAGACCCGAGCGGGGAGGGCCGCGCGCCAGAGAGAGAGAGCGCAGGGTGGGACAGCCAGGCATCAGAGAAAGGGCAGGAAGGAGGGACCAAGCGGGCAGAGGCCCCGGTCCCATGTCTACAAGATCCTCGGAGAAGCAGGAGAGCGGGCTGGGGAAGGTGGCCTGCAGGAAGGATGCAGCTGGCCCCACACTTCCACAGCCCACACGAGGTCAGAGGGCAGGGGCCAGCCTGCCTGAGGGCAGCAGAGGTGGGAGGCGATCCCTGGCCTGCAGGGCCACCGCCCTGTGCCACGCTCCCGCCAGCACCCTGACCAAGGAGGCAGCAACCGTCCCCAACCAGAAGAAGCCTGACCCAATGCGGGACAGCCCAGGCGGACACAGGGGCTGAACCAGCACTCAAACGCCATTCCCCTCCGGACCACAGGGGACAGTGACTGCCCAGAGACAGGTACCCCAGCGGGCTCTTGGGAGGACAGTGGGCGAGCCACGGCCTTGCCACCCGCTCCCTGGGCGGGGGTGGGCAGGGAGAGATGAGGGCCAGGCCCTCAGCCCACCTGTCGGACCAATCACAGGATCAGAAAACCCGGACGAGCACTGGACCTGAAGCGGCGAGGCACCCTCATGTGACAGTCCGGCCTGGGCAAGGGGCCGCAGGGAGGGGGTCCAGGGAGCCTGGCCAGTCGCTCGAGGACAAGAAGCCCACACAGGAGGCGAGTGGCCAGTGCCAGACACAGGTCTGGAACCCCAAGCCTGACTTCCTGCAGGCCCATTCTGTGGGCACCAGGCTCAGAGCTTTCGAGGCGCCACCAGGGCCACCTCTGCCCCCCCCCCCCACCCCCAGGATGGGGGCTCAAGATGGACAAGGCCACGCACCAGAGACCACACATTGATGTGGCCCACTGGCCCTTTTTCAGGCAGGAATCCGCCCCCGCTGCACCCAGGCTGCCCACGGCCCCCAGACCATCCCTGCACCGGGCGAGGCAGGGGCAGGAGCTAAGCGCTGGCGTCCGTGCCAGTGATGGAGCAGAGCCTCCGTGTGGCTGACAGACGCTGCGTCCCACAACGGGACCCGCCGTGTGCGCACGTACCAGGTGGTTCTCGTCCTGGAAGGCGTAGTGCAGCGTGGTGATCCACTGGCAGTCTCCGTTCACCAGCACGTCCCGCTCTTCCCGGAAGCAGGCGGTCTACGGAGAGGGGAGCGTGTCTGCCGCAGCCCGCCCCCCCCCCCCCCCCCCCGTGTGGCGCCCTGGACCCTCCCTTGGTTCCCCGGACCCCGGGACCCAGCCTGAGGCACAGGCTATGTCAGGGGCCAGTGGCCTCGCCACACCCGCGATCAGCAGCTCCCACGGGAACTGTGCCAGGGCCCAGTCGGGGTGGCTGTCCCTGGAGAGCTCCCTACGGGGACAGACCAGGGGCCACCTCCAACTGCGCCTGACAGATGTCAACGAACAGGGCACTGCCGGGAAGACCCACACACGAGAGCGACAGGGACACATGTGTGATCCCATGAGAGAGGACAGGACATGTGTGTGACCCCAGGAGAGAGGACAGGACATGTGTGTAACCCCAGGAGAGAGGATGGACAGTGAGTGACCCCAGGAGAGGGGGACGAGACAGTGAGTGACCCCAGGAAAGAGGGACTGGATAGTGAGTGACCCCAGGAGAGGGAGACAGGACATGTGTGTTACCCCATGAGAGGGGGATAGGACAGTGAGTGACCCCAGGAGACAGGGGTGGGATCGTGAGTGACCTCACATAGAGAGGAGGCCCCGTGGGTTCACAGTCCCGGCGCTTCTGGAACCCAGCCATGCTCCGGCCCAAACCCTGCTGTGTCTGACCCCACCCCTCGAGCCGGGAAGCAGCGGCCGGGCCTCGGTCACCAGGGCACCGTGCAGAGAAGCAGAGCTCAGACACAGGGGAGCAGCGGCAACTCTAGGGGTGTTCCTTGTGGGTGGGCTGGGGTGGCAGGGAGCACAGGGCCCAGTGCTAAGGAGATACCCGGTGACAAGCCTCTGCCAGATGGCAGGTGGGGTGTAGCAACGGAGGGACATTCCGGAAGGGGGGGGCAGACAGGGGAACACAGGACAGGGCAGGCAGGGAAGGGGGCCGTGAGCGGGCGCTGCCGTTCCCCTGAACAGGAAGGACAGAGGAAGCACGGGGCGAACCGAGACAGGGGTCAGGGGCTCCCCCATCCCACCCCACGCCTGGACACCTCCAAATTTCTCGGGACCCCGAGCCCGTTAACTCCTTTGGCAAATGGAGCAGAGTGTGGCGGGCACGTCTGGTTCCCGGACAGGCTTGGATCTGGTCAACCGACTGCGTGGGCGTGAGGGGCTGGTCTCACGGCTTCCTGGGGCTGCCCACCACGCAGCGCGGCCAGCACAGCCTCCCAGTACGACCCCGCGTCCTTACCTCTGCTCTTTTCAGCATCTCCCACTTGTTGAGGATCTTCATGGCGTAGATGCGTTCCGTGTTCTTCATCTTGACAACGGCAACCTGGAGGAGGATGCATTTAACCATGACTTCATGAACGAATGAAAAGCTTTTCCCCAAGTATAAGTGAAATCCGAAATGCCTGGAAGCCCGGGAAAAGCGGCTGTTATGCTAAGTTTTCTGCCCAGAGATTGGACATCAGCTTGATCGCTCAAAACTGTCAGTACTAAACAAGGCACAGGCTGCGGGGGAGGGTCCCTAGACCCCCACTTTGGGTTTGTCTGGAAATTTCAATGAGAAAGGAAAACGTGATCACTGGCACCCACTTTCCTGGGGCCCACCCTCACTCCTGCTGCTCTCTGCTAAGTGACACCCATCTGGGCCCACGGTCTCTGCAACAAACAGGAGCATGGTCTGACACAGCCAGAACGTTCAGTGGACAGTCTTTGAGGACAGTCTTTTTGTTTGTTTGAAACTTACCCACCTTTATAATTTTTATTTTATAGAGTAAAACAATCACGGGGCACAATGGAGGGCATATGTGACAATCATTCCTTTAGCATATACTTTGTGCTACGAAGCAGGCAGTTCAACCCAGGGACTCAGATCTCAAAGGAATTGTCTTCAGAAACAAGAACAGCAAATACTTGTGATGAAATATCACAGTGTTTAAATGGGGACATATAACTGCGCAGTTGTGATGTTGGTGGGTCCCACGGGTGGCTCACGCAAGTTGGGGAGGAGAGAAAGACGGTCACCTTCTCCCAGTCTGTCTCCGCCACCCGGGACCCGCTGGAAAGCCTAGGACTGGTAAAGTCTGCGACGAACCCCTGCTCGGCCTAGGCCTGAGCCCCAGTCAGCCCCACCAGGTGCTCGTGAAGCCACACCTGAAGTTCGCTTGGTCTGCCAGGCATGGGAGTTGATCCCCGCCACCCGATTTCTCAGGGACCCACGGACTCGGGCTGGAGCGAGGATTCGTTCTTTGCAGGAAAGGACAAATCAGTCCAAGGCCTGACCTAGGGTTTTCAGGGTTCTTGTCTCGCCTCACAAACAAAAATTTCTGGAGTAGAAGAGCAATGAAGTGAAGTAGATTTTATTTGGAGGGTTTTTGAAGATGTGAGAGAGAGAGAGAAAAAAACACTCAAGGGAGAACCCGCTTCTCCAAGGGCGGAGAGAGCCCCTACATTCCAGCATTAGAGATGTAAGCATGAAGGTCCACATCTCAAGAGGGGAGATGCGGGCGCCACATGTGCTTGAGTGCCACATGTGCTCGGCCACGTGGGCACAAGCAGCACATGGGCTTGGGCAGCGTGAGACTAAAACCCCTCAAACTGACTGGAGCAACCCAATCACTGGGAAAGCGAGACACAACATTCTGAACTCAAAAATAGAGGATGAACTTGCTGTTTTTAGTTTTGGGGCCACCCAGTGGTGCTGAGGGCTCACTCCTCCTCAGTGCTCAGGGGTCACTCCAGGTGCGGGTGCTGGGATTGAACCCAGATGGGCCACCTGCAAGGCAAGTGCCTTGCCCGCTGGCCCAGGGATGGAATTCTGGAGGTCTGTCAGGGCACAGGCTGCTTCTGAGGACAATGCAGAATGACCGAGGACATGCATGGATGGTGAAAGTCTCTGTTCCCCGAGAGACACGTGCAGCTTGAAACTACGTCACGGGGTCACAAACAAGCCAGCGGCGGGCACACACCAACCTGCCTGTGGAAGCCCTGGGGCTGCTCCCCAGAGCCACACGGCTCCCTGACACGCCCACAGCACTGCTGCTGCCACCAGGGCCGGCCTGGTGCACACGAGCCCCACAGTGCGGGCTGGAGACAAGCTCCTCTTTCCCATGAGCCCCAAGTCATCTCGTCCTCTCTCTCCCTCTCTCTCTCCCCCTCTTTCCCTCCCTCCTTCTCTCTCTCTCACATACATACACACACAGCAGTGGCAAAATGGTGAAGCAAATTCAACATTAAAAAAAAAAAAACTGGGGCTAGAGCGACAGCACAGTGGGTAGGGTATTTGCCTTGCACGCGGCCGACCCAGGTTCAATTCCCAGCATCCCGTATGGTCTCCCGAGCACCGCCAGGAGTCATTCCTGAGTGCACGAGCCAGGAGTAACCCCTGTGCAACGCCAGGTGTGACCCAAAGTGGAAAAAAAAAAACCAACCAACTCACAATCACAATATTAAACAACCTTTGTCTAGTGTACAATTTCTTATTTTCTATTATATAATAATTTGCTGAAAATCTTGGCTTACCAACAACCTCTGACCCAAAACTCAATCTTCGTTGCTATTCTCTGCCCTGATGCTACCAAGTCCCCACAGGCCCAACTGTCCTGTGTGCTGGGTGACGTGGGAACGGCCGAGCTGCTGACCGGGTGGGGAGGGGGAGGCGGGGAGAGCCTGACCTCCGCTCTCCTGACAGACAGGCCAGGCGGTGTGCGAGCCCGAGCTCCAGCAGCACGTGGCCCTAGTGGACACACAAACAGGCTTCTGGGCGGACCAGCATCAAGACCTTCCGGCTCCACACCTGGGGCCTGGTCTTCAGGGCGTCACCCAGAAGAGGACAGACGGCTGCAGCCTCCCTGTCCCAGCTCTGCCTCTGCAAGAACAGCGGGCCAGGAGTCAGTCCCTACGGTGGCCCCTCCACGGCCCTGAGAACATGCGGTGGCCCCGGGGAACTTGGCGGAATTGGCCCTCGCGGAGGAAAACCCAGGCGGAAGTGGCTGCTGTGCACGGCATGAAGCCTCCCGAGGCAGTGTGTGTGCCGGTCACCACGACAACCGACACCCGGCGAGAGAAGGGGAGCGCAAGACAAGAGCACCGGGCACCCCCCAGGCTGACTTCAGTCAACGGAAGCAAAAGGCACTCACTGAAGGGTACAGAGCAATTCCGGGCACGGTGACACACAAGGGAAATTCCGCTGCTACCAGATTCTCGAGCACCGGGACAAAGGACAAGGCGGCAGAGGACGGGGGCAGTGGAAAGGAGTGTCCACGGGGACAGACCATGCACTACGGCAAGGACAAAGTAGCCTGACGTGTGGGGCGAGGAACCCTGCACGTGTACACACACACATACGCACATTTGCACACATACGCATGTGTGTACACACACAAGCACTAGGTGCCCAGGCCACAGGAGAGAGCAAGGAGAGCAACGGGACAGGAGGCCAAGGGTCCGGCGCGCCTGACCACTCCATCAGTCAACCGTTGTGTTCGCCTACACTGGTTCTGCACAGAGGTTCACTTCTTCTCCGGACAGAAGTGCAGGGTCGAGCAGCCGGGCACGAGCTTTGGGATTCAAGTCTACCCCTCAGGACCGCTGGCCCCGGCCTCGGCTCTGCGCCTCCCTCCAGCCAGGCCTACTGTTCCGGGCCACGCTGACACGCGGGGCTTGCCTACTGCCCGGCACAGGGGCCGCCGTCTGCCAGCTGCTCTCTAGCCATAGAAGGGCCCTGGGCGCTACACCTCACCAGCCCAGCTTCCGCCCCAGAGGCGTCCAAGGGCCGTCCCAGCCTGGCTGTGCCCGGGAGCCAGAAAGGCGTTGTAAGGCTCAGGTGCCAGGGGCCCGAGGGTCAGCTCAGCATCCGAGCCAGGCGTGGCATGGAGGAGGCCTGGGTTTGGGCATTCAGGGTCCCCGAGCATGGTCACTGTCAGGGGTGGCCCCAAAATAAAAGAACCAGTGTGCTTCAGATGGAGCGCAATGCAACAGCGCAACCCATTAAAAAGACAACCAGAAACACAGCTGTCTCACACACAAACACACACACACACATACACAAATGGCCATGACCTAGGGCCACACAACACACACACACAGCCATGACCCCAGGGGACACACAAACACACACACTGCCATGACCCAGGGCCACATACACAGCCATGTCCTAGCGCCACACACACAGCCATGACCCAGGGCCACACACACACAAACACACACAGCCATGACCTAGTGCCAAACACACACACACACACAGCCATGACCTAGGGTCTCACACACAAACACACACACGGCCATGACCCAGGGCCCCCCTCCCCACATACGGCCATGACCCAGGGGGACACACAAACACACACACTGCCATGACCCAGGGCCACACATACAACCATGACCTAGTGTCTCACACACACACACACAGAGCCATGACCTAGTGCCACAAACACACACAGGCATGACCCAGGGTCTCTCTCTCACACACACACACACACACACACACACACACACACAGGTCATGACCCAGCCCCCCCCCACACACACACTGCCATGACCCACACACACACACATAGGGCCATGACCCAGGGGCACACACACACACAGCCATGACCCAGAGTCTCTCACACACACACACATGGCCATGACCTAGTGCCACAAACACACACAGGCATGACCCAGGGTCTCACACACACACAGACACACACACACACACACAGGCCATGACCCAGCCCCCCCCCACACACACTGCCATGACCTACCCACACACAAACACACACACACACACACACATACACACACAGGGCCATGACCCAGGAGGACACACAAACACACACACAGCCATGACCCAGGGCCACACACACACACACACACACAGCCATGACCCAGGGCCACACACGCACACAGCCATGACCCAGAGTCTCACACACACGGCCATGACCCAGGGCCACACTCACACACAGACACACGGCCATGACCCAGACACACACACACACACACACGCACACACACGGCCATGACCCAGGGCTCCTCATGGTCACTGAGGGCCCTGCAGAGTCGCAGACCCCAGCCTACCAACAGGGAAAGCGTATCAGAGCCACAGGAATGGAACTCTGGCCCGCCCGCACTGACACTGCCTTCCTCTTATGCCCACGCAGACACATGAGCCTGGCACGGCGTAGGGAAGGGAGCCAAGGGCATTCACTCAAGTCCAAGTCCAGAAAAGACTGCAAGAAGCCCCCACGCGCCCCCAACAACCTCCGTCGGAGAACAGCCAGAGGTCCGGGGAGGAGGCCTGGAGGGCTGGGAGGAGGCAGCGGCTGGGTTATAAGGGGGTCTCCACAAAGAAGCTGCTGGGGCCCAGAGAAGAGAGGGGAGGGGAATCACAGCCCAAAGGTCTGCGCCAGGTGAATCCCTCGGACCTTAGACCTTGCAACAGGCTCAACATTCTCCTGGGCATCAGGGAGCCCAGCCCAGGGGCAGCGGACGGGGCACTTGGGTCTGTTTTTCCAGCAGGACCGTCCCAGTTGTGGGGATGCGGGGCCAACAGGAAGACTGTGCGCACACCGAACCCCTCGGACCTTCCGTCAGCCTCAGGGCTGACAGCGGGGCTCCGGTCAGTGCTGGGGCAGGGGGCCACTCCCAGCAATACTCGGGCTGGCGGTCAGCGCTGCCAGGGCAAGACTTGGGCACCGGCAATGTCGGGGAGGCTCCGGGGTGCTGGAGCGCACACCCACCCACTGCACAGAGCAAAGCAGCCATTTGGGAGCAGCCCCGGCAGGCCCGGCCCAGATGGGTCGCTCATGCCCTGGGGGCGGAAGGGAGGAGCGCCTCTGGACAGCAGGGCTGCCCTCATTCAGCGCCACCTTTAGGTGACCCCTTTCTTTTGGACCGTCAGAGGGGCACTTCTCTCGTCCCCTGCTAGAAAAGTCTCTGGACACTTCCTTTCCGTGTGTGCCACTGTGTGGGTGCCCGAGCCAAAGAATCAGCACATAGTGAGGCAGCAGATACGGGGGTTAAGGAAGCTCACCAGGCATGTGACGGCCCCACCCCAGCTCCACAGAGCCAGGCGGAGCCTCAACCACCGGATCGGCCCCAGACTGTCCCGGTGCCCGAAATATCTGGATGTTCTCTAGGACAGATGCAGGCCAGGGTCAGCCCGAGTCCCAGCAACATCCCGAGGGCAGAGCTGCTGGGTCGGTCCCACGCCAGGAGCTTCCAGCCTGGAGGGCGGCACACACCCCGAGGATCCAAAGGTCCCCAAGTGCTGAGACGGCGTCCCAGAGGCAGCTGCAGGAGCCTGAGCCCGGCGGCCAGCAGGGAAGCAGCGCAAACGTCGGCGACCGCTCAGGTCCTGACACTGCCCGGGTCATTCGCCAGCCCTTGCCCTAGCTCGAGGCGCACCGCTCACCTCACCGAATGCTCCTCTTCCGATCACTTTAATGATTTCGAAGTCGTCTCGATGCAGCTGCATTTCCTTCACCAGTTGTGTGAACGGCTTAGCTGTAAATTTGAGGGAAAAAAAAAGCAAAATTAACGATTTACTCCAGGAAGTCAGTACTATATAAATGTCATGGGGGGACGGGGCAGAAGAGTTACACGGCAGACCAGGCTGAATCCTCAGCAAAGACCCAGGAGAAACCCTAAGCACATCAAGCGTGCCGTCCCACCCCACCAAAAACAATGTCACTGGACACTCCACAAGCACGACTCTTTCCAGCGCTCGCTCTTTAGGGGCTGGAGACAGCACAGGGGTTAAGGAACACGCTGTGCAGCCCGCTGCCCCGAGTCTGGCCTCCAGCACCCCAGTTCCCGGCACGGCAGGGCCCTCGTGTGCAGCACCTTATCCTGGGGCCCACACCGAGCCACCAGATGGCCAGGAGGGCCCCCAAGCACCACTTGGGAGAGGCCAGCTGTCCAGCAAACCTCTCCAAGTGGGTATTTTCCTGAATGGCTGTATCGTAGCTGCCACAAGCGGCCAGGCCACCCGCCACTCCTCACCGTCACCACGCAGACGCTGGTCGTCAGCACCCAAACCTCGCACCACTCAAACACCCCTGACAGGGGAGGGGCCCCACAGTGACCTGGAGGTGGCCTCGGTGAGGACAGAAGTGCCGCCCACCTGTCTGCAGTGGATGCTACCCCATAGACTGACCATGGGAAACGGAGCCAGGCTTGAGGACAGGGCCCCCCGGCACCCCATTCTGCAGGAGGCATGACCAAGCGATTCCCGGGAAGTTGAGCCACGACGCGGTCTCCCACAGAAAAGGCGTCGCCCAGTCCCAACCTGCCAGGTGTCCTTGCCCACCGAGGATTCTGCACTCGGCCTCCAGAGGGAGCCTTCCTCACCCAGCCCTCAGGGGTGCGAGCCACCCAGGAAACCATGGGGTAACCGAGGGGGACTTCCCAGAGGCAGCTCAGAGCCACAGGGTGGCCATGAGCAAGCCTGGCGTGAGGCCCCGCATCTGCTCGGCTCCGGAAGCCCCACGTGACACTGACTCGTGGTCTCACCACCAGGCTCAGAGCCCCACCACGGTGGCCAGAGCCCGAGAGGGCCCGTGAGTCACGAGAGGATCTTGACCCACGAGACCAGAGAGTGGAGGTCAGGGTCGCTGGAAGCAAAGGTCAGCCCTGGAGGTCATCTTCCTGCCTTCCGGGCATCACCAAGACCACATTCCCCAAATCTACCACTGAAGCCTTCTGTCTCGCCTGGGTCTTTTGGGAGGATCGGCGGCCTCCTTTGTTCCACTGTGAAGTGACACATCCCACAGCTGCCACAAGCCGGCGAGGCCACACTTCACTTGCGTCGGTCCACCCCAAACTCGACATGCAATCCGCACTTTCCAACCGACTCCCCACCACACCACTTGCCAGCAGTGCTATGAGCCACTGCAGGTTTGCAAAGGCTAAAGGATGCTCCGAGGAAAGTTGGGACCTTATACTGCTCAGCTGACATCTTGACACATGCAGTTTCCCTAATCCAACAGCCTAATCGTTCAGTACTGGCCATCTTAACACAGGTTCAAAGTTTAAATGGGAGAGCTAGAAAGATAGTACAGGGGGTAGGGGCTGGAGCGACAGTACAGCAGGCAGGGCACGTGGCTCGACTCCTGTCACCCTACATGGCCCCCCGAGCCCCACCAGGAATGATCCCTGAGCACGGTCCAGCGGGGACGATGCTTCTCTTGCATGAGGCCAAACTGGGTTGGACTCCTGGCACCCCAAAATTGTCCCCTGCGCGCAGAGCCAAGAGTAAGCCCTGAGTACCACTGGGCGTGGCAAAAAATGTAAATCCCATTTAAGTGGGAGGGGTATGCGGGGCTCCACAGCTGCGCTCAGGACCCGCATGGGGTCAACAGGATGCAAGGCAAGGGCCTCTTCCACTGTGCTCTCCACACGCAAAGGTTTAATATGTAAAGTTATTGTCTTAGCTGCAAGTCTGCGACAGACACCTTCCAGCACAGGTCTGGGTTCTTCACGGAGCAGGTCCCCTGCCCAGGAGGAAGGCACGCCTCCCTCCGTCTCCTGAGCCGCCAGCGGGGGGCGCTGCACTCCCAGCTCCAGGCCACTGACCACCCCTGGGCGCCAGAAGCCATGGGCAGCACTACGATGCCTACTGCCGTCTGGCAGCAAAGCACACGCGGGAGCTCTGCCTTAACTTTAAAACTGCTGGAAAAGCCAGGCCACGTTTTATTTTCACTTCACAAAGTCATCGTTTTGCTTTTATGGGTCACACTCCGAGGTGCACTCAAGGGACCACATCGGGGGTCAGGGATCAAACCCCAAGTCAGCTTTGTGCAAGGCAAATGACCTACCTGCTGTGCTACTGCAACAGAAATTACTTTTATATTTTTTATTTTTGATGTAAAACGGAGTTTATTTGGAGGTTTTTGAAGGAGAGGAGGGAAAAAGATAGAGAATATAACGTGCCCGAGTATGCGGGCTTCTGCGAGGGCAGAGAGAGCCCCTACACACACCCCAGCATCAGATACAGAAGCAGGAAGGTCCACATCTCAAGAGGGGAGATGCCAGCGACCTGTGCTCAAGCACCGCATGTGCCTGGCCACGTGAGCACAAGCAGCAGCACATGAGATCAGGCAGCATATATGCCGAGAAATTACTTTTAATGGAGTTATCTCCGGAGTGACAGTACAGCAGGTAGGGTGTCGACCTTAGGTAGGTTTGATCCCTGGCACCCCATATAGTCCCGAGACTGCCAGGAGTGATACCTGAGTGCAGAGCCCAGAGTAACCCCTGAGAACTACCAGGTGTGGCCTGAAACCAAAAAAAGGTATTTTCAGTAAAACTGAATTCATTTTCTTGTTATTAAGGCTTAGAAAATCATCAGCTTGGGGTTGGAGCGATAAGGCACTGGCCTTGAATGCAGCCAACCTGGGTTTGATCCCCAGAATCCTATATGGGCCCCCGAGCACCACCAGGAGTAAGCCCTGAGCACTGCCGAATGTGGCCCAGAAATGAAAGACAAGAAAAGAAAAAAAGAAAGAAAAGAAGAGTCAAGTCATCTCTGACTCAATAGCGCCTGGCGTTCAGCCCTATTTTTGCCAAATGGATTTTTTCTCACCGCTGTGGCCACCACAAGCGGTGGTGCTCAGGGTGGGACAAGGGGTGTCAGGCAGGGATCAAGCCCAGGGACTCACTGTACAAGTGCTCCCCCACATACCGCAACACGTAGGGTCAGTGCTCCCCACATCCCTCAATGTCCGAATGTTCCCCCTCACAGCATGAGTGCTCCCACACCCCTCAGCGTGTTCCACATTCCCCTCGCAGCGTGAGTGCTCCCACATCCCTCACAGCACCCCATACTCATCACAGCACGAGTGCTCCCAGATGCCTCACAGCATGTGTTCCCCACACCTCAGTGAGTGCTTCTATAACCCTCACAGCGTGAATGCTCCCATGTCTCACAGCGTGAGTGCTCCCCTATATCCTTCACAGTGAGTGCTCCCATTCCCCCTCAGAGTGAATGCCCCCCACACCCATCACAGCATGAGTGCTCCACCACATCCCTGGACCCCTAGATGGCTTTTTTAATTAGTATGTCTGGGACAAGGAGATAGGACAGCAGGTGGGGCACTTGCCTTGCAGGCAGCTGACCCCAGTTCTATCCCTGGCACCATAAATGGTCCCCAAAGCACGGCCAGGAGTAAGCCCTGAGCACAGCCGGATGCGGCCCCTCCAAAATAGTAGCATGATGAAAGAATAATACCATCGCACATCTTTGGTTGCTGCTTAGAGTAGCTGGAGCGTGCTTGGGTGTTCACTCTGATTTCCAGTTGAACCATCTCTCTGCATTTAAGTGGAATGCAGGACAGGGTCCCTTCCGCTCTAGGCAGAGGAAAGAGGGGGTATCTGCTCTGGGGGCCCCAGGAAAGACCCTAAGTTTAGGCATCCCTCGAGAGATGCAGGTCCTAAGCGCATGGCTTGGTGGCTCGTCCTGGGAAAGGGTCTTGATGACTTTCCTCTGCTGCAGGGCCCGAGGGCCCCAAAGAAAGCCCCTTGCACAGCCTCCTCCACCTTCCGGCAAAGACCCTACTCAACTCTCCTCTTGCTTTTTGGTTTTGGTGTCACACCTGGCATCTCAGGGGTTACTCGTGGCTCTGCACTCGCACTCAGGAATCCTCCTGGTGGGGCTCGGGAGACCATATGGGATGCCGGGGATCAAACCTGGGTTGGCCACGTGCAAAGCCACTGCCCTCCCCGCGGTCCCAACTCCCCTGCTGTCTTGGGTTGCTCTGGACTCGTCAGGGTTTCCAGAGCTGGGTGAGAGCAACTCCTCAGGGCTGCTGGCAGACAGGAGCCCTGCAGAGACAAACTCAGACGACGGCGAAGAGAAGGAAGAGCAAAGCAACCAACAGAGGGACACGTGACCTTCACGCCGCACCTTCCAGGTTCCGGGACGCCGTGAGCTGAGCGCCAAGGAAGGCGGTCAGCAGGGACGAGGGGACAGGGAGGCGGAGAAGCAGTGGTGTCAAAGGGGTGTCAAACAGGCAGTCTGTCCCGGGCCCGGCAGATCAGGCGGAAATCGCCTCAGCCACATCAAGGAACTGCCCGCTGGGAAGCAAAAGGGCAAAGGGAAACCCCCGAGTCCCAGAGAGAAAGCAGGTCTCGCTCCAGCAGGCCCTCGGCAGGGAGCCGTTCTGCCGGGCTCTGGGCTCTCTGAGTCTGGGCCCCTGCCAGGGCCGGAGGAGACGGCCGCTTCATCGGGACTAGGATCAGGGCCCAAGGGGACCTGCACCAAGGGAACCAAGTCACTGGACAGTGGCGGGGGGGGGGGGGCCAAGAACAAACCCCCCGACTACGCTGGGCCAGGTCTGCGGGCACCAGAAAGCTGGTCTCCAGGAGGTGGCGAGCACAGGAGCGAGCAGAAGCAGACACTGCTGGGGGTGCTGGTTTCAGGGTGACCCCGAGAACCAGTTTGCAGCAAAGGAAGCCAGAGCCGGGCCTGGCCCAGGAACGACAAGGCCAGGGAGAACTGGTGCCAC